CTTATTCAGATTCCAGTTTTACATGGACTTACCTATGTGTATTTAGTTTGATGCAATTTAATCACAAGTGTAGATTCCTGTGACTGCTACCAAGGATCCCTCAGGCCACCCTTTTAAGTCCCAGCCACCTTCCTACCACACCTCCAACTTCTGCCACCCCATAATCTGTTCTCTATCTCTATCATTTTGTCATTTCAAGAGTATCATATAAGTGGAATAACATAGGATGTAACCTTTGAGATGGGTTTTTTTTTTAACTCAGCATAATTTCTTTGTGATCCATCCAAGTAGTTGCATATATCAATACTTCATTCCTTTTTATTGTTGAATAGTACAAGGATGCACCACAGTTTTTTGGTTTGTTTGTTTGTTTGTTTTAAACTCACATTCAAGGATTATTTGGGATATTTCTGGTGTCTGACTATTATGAATAAAGTTGCTATGAACATTTGTAGGTTTACTCATAAGTTTTTCTCACTATTTTATTTATATCACTTTATTTAGTCAAATTATAGGCCATAGAAATTAGGGTAAAATGTATCACAGCAGTTGGATATTTCATAGAGGTGAGATTTGAGATATAGGGCAAAAATGTCATGCAAAAAAAATTCTCCAGGGCTGTCTCTCTCTCTTTTTTTCTTTTCCATAATATCTGGATTTCCTGGCATTAAATCATTATCACTTGGGGCAATAAGAAGGGGTGACTTCCTATCAGTATCTATGTGACTTGAGCTTCATCCCTAGTCAGCACTTTAAAAGGGGAGATGGTAGGAAAATATATAGGTTTATTTTTAAAACTCTTATTTGTCTTAAATTATGTTGTTCAGAAATTGTCCTAAATTAAACAATGAAAAATCTTATTATCAGACATGACAAGTTTATTAATGTTTCTGTATACATTATATGAAAAACTTTTCTAAATGTATAACTTCTTAGAATCCATAAGACAAAAATAATACTTTTCTTATTTTTTTAGGTATCAGTCAACCAACAACTATTTATTGGGGACTAACTGCCCCAAATAAAATAAATACTTGGGTAGATGCAGAATTTTTAAACTTTCTAAGTATTATTTTTTAAAGGTAAATAAAATATCCACTGTTACAGAACCAAAGCAGGGGGTTGGCTGCCCAATGTCACCAATAGGCAATTTCCAGAGGTTGGTGAGAAAGGAAAGAGGTCTTCATTCAACTGCTACACAATCTGGGAGACTGGCAGACTCTTGTCTCAGAAGCTTATGCACTCTGGAAACCGAGATGAAAACCCAGCCACCTGTAGCCAGACCAAAACCAAAGGCAGCATCCAGAGATTCTTCTCATTTAAAATACTGTCCTTTGGGAAACACAGGTGTCTGCTGCGCAATAATATTGTTAGCTTAGCTTGTTCCCAGTTGCTGTCCAGCTTCAGGCTCCTTCCTTGGAGCCCATGTGTGGGGCCAATGCCACCATTGGCCAGATGGCAGCAAGGGCCAGAAGGTCCCTCAGATGCATCAGCCAGTACGTTCCCAGGGTGGGCAAGAGAGCTGGAGCCCGTCCCTTCCTTCCCCTGGGTTTATATTAATTTCCTTTGTGGGCCAGAGCAGGTGCTTTTCTTAGCCCAAACTTCTGTGTGCTTGACCCCAGGAGGGTCTGGCCCCCATCTATTCCCTTCTTTTCACCAGGCTAGACTACCAGGTTTCTTCCATATAGTACCTCCCCCTGCTGCCATTCTGACCTCTGTGGCACATGTGCCTGCCTTCACCAATCAGGAACCAGAAGGGAGTAGGAAGGCTTTCCTCCCATACAGTTCTCTCACTAACCTTGTACTTGCATATTGCAGTGCTTCTTCCTGTCACCATCTTGCCCAGGAGCAGGGGATCTGCTGCTAGGCTATGTGTTTCACCACAACTGGGAAAATTAAAGAATAGTAAAAAAATTGGTGTACTCAGAGAAAGTACACCAGAGAAAGTATGCAGAAGCTTCCCACTTTTATGATAATCATGTTGCAGAAAATAGCATAGACAAAACCAAATAGTTGTGTTGCTAAATAGACTTAATTTTTAAAAATATGTTTTGATCATGCTATTACAGTTGTCCCATATTCCCCCCATTATTCCCCTCTCCACACCGTCACCTTTAGTTCATGTCCATGGGTTATATATGTAAGTTCTTTGGCTTCTACATTTCCTATACTATTCTTAACCTCCCACCGTCTATTTTCTACCTTCCATTTATACTACTAATTCTCTGGACCTTTTCCCCCTCTCCTCACCCACTCCCCTGCTGATTACCCTCCATGTGATCTCTATTTCTCTGATTCTGTTCCTGTTCTAGTTGTTTGCTTAGTTTGTTTTTGTTTCAGGTTTGGTTGTTAGTAACTGTGAGTTTGTTGTCATTTTACTGTTCGTATTTTTTATCTCCTTTTTCTTAGATAAGTCCCTTTAACATTTCATGTAATAAGGGCTTGGTGATGATGAACTCCTTTAACTTGACCTTATCTGGGAAGCACTTTCTCTGCCCTTCCATTCTGAATGATAGCTTTGCTGGATAGAGTAATCTTGGATGTAGGTCCGTGCCTTTCATGACTTGGAATACTTCTTTCCAGCCCCTTCTTGCCTGCACGAAATCAGCTGACAGTCTTATGGGCAATCCTTTGTAGGTAACTGTCTCCTTTCCTCTTGCTGCTTTTAAGATTCTCTCCTCTTTAATCTTGGTTAATGTAATTATGATTTGCCTTGGTGTGTTCCTCTTTCGGTCCAACTTCTCTCTTTGGGCCTCTCTGAGCTTCCTGGAAGTCTGTTTTCTTCGCCAGATTGGGGACATTCTCCTTCGTTATTTGTTCAGATAAGTTTTCAATTTCTTGCTCTTCTCTTCTCCCTCTGGTACCCCTATGACTCGGATGTTGGAATGTTTAAAGATGTCCTGGAGGTTCCTAAGCCTCTCATTTTTTTTTTTTAATTCTTGTTTCTTCATTCTGTTCTGGTTGAATGTTTCTTTCTTCCTTCTGGTCCAAACCGTTGATTTGAGACCTGGTTCCTTCCCATCACTGTTGGTTCCCTGTACATTTCCCTTTATTTCACTTAGCATAGCCTTCATTTTTTTTTATCAAATTTATGACCATATTCAACCAATTCTGTGAGCATCCTGACTACCACCAGTGTTCTGAACTGTGCATCTGATAGGTTGGCTATCTCTTCATCACTTAGTTGTTTTTTTTCTGGAGCTTTGATTTGTTCTTTCATTTGGGCCATTGTTTTTTTTGTCTTGGTGTGCTTGTTACATAGTAAGGGGTGGAGCCTTAGGTGTTCACCAGGGCAGGGCAACCCACGTAGCTGTGTTGTGATGCTCTCTGTGGGGGAAGTGTCCAAGAGGGAACAATGGCACTTGCTTAGCTCTCTGCCAGTTTTCAGTCACTTCTGCTACCCACAAGCAAATTGGGCCCTTCTGGTGCTGATTCCCAGGTGAGTAGGTTCGTGCATGTTCTAGGACCCTGTGGGTCTCTCCAATAAACTCTCCTGTGAGGCTGGGAGTTTCTCCCATTGCTGCCTTAACCCCCTGCAGATGTTTTCAATCAGAGGTTTGAGGCTTTATTTCCCTGAGCTTGAACTCTGGGTTGTGCAGCCTGACTTGCTCCCCAGTTGTTCCTCCCAGTTTATCAGCAAGTGAATGTGGGACCACCCAGTCTGTGATCCCCACCACCTCACTGTGTCCACCAGCCGCCAACTTGCCTGCCAGCCAAGAGTTCTCTCTGCCTGGCTGCCTAGCTCTGCCCCTCCTACCTGTCTGGATGAATGTTTCTTCTTTAACTCCTTGGTTGTCCGACTTCCACACAGCTTGATTTTCTGTCAGTTATGGTTGGTTTTTGTCCCTAAACTTGCTGTTGTCCTTACCTTGGTTGTGCAAGGAGGCACAGTGTGTCTACCTATGCCTCCATCTTGGCTGGAAGCCCTAATTTTTTTTTATTTAATGGTTTTACTAGCTATATATTATTTTATCAAGTGGTTATATCATATTTTACTTAAGCATGTTACAGTTAAGCATTTTATATTGCTATAAATTGTTTATATTCTTTGTTACTTTGAGTTTCTCTATAGTTTGAATTATATTCTTCGATTAGAATCCAATATGTGAGATACTGATTTAAAAAAAACAAAGAGTCCTGTTATGTATTGCCAAATTTCTTTCCAGAAAATTATTTCAGTTTATAGTATCTCTAGCAAAGTATGGAAATACAGTTTTATAACACTTTCATCAACATTGAGTATTTAAAGTTTGTTAAGTAAATTCTTTTGGTTTGGGTTAGTTGCTAGTGATGTTGGATATATTTTCATGTTTGTTCAATGGCTGTTTTTCTCCTTTTATTCATTGTTTCTGAAGATTTGAAAAGTCACTTTATTTTGTCTATATCTTCCTTGCTGTTTCAGTGCCATCTACCTGCTCTCTCCACAGTAACTACCCAAGTTTTATAGGCAGTGGTCTTCTCTTATGTTTTTGTGTCAGACTCAATTAAGATTAAAAGTACATATAACATATCCAGAGATAAAAAACAGTGCCCTTTGTTAAGTACTTTTCATAAACAATTTTACTTCTGGTCCAGGATTTCCTGCCACAATCTATTTTAATCCCAAAAGACTTGAGCCTACATAAGCAGTATTGCTGTTAGCAAATACATAGGCTATGTCAGAACATAGACCTTCATTTATACTAACTTCTAATTATATGCTTGCTGTTGGGATTAGAAAGGAAGCAACTCACTTTAGGTTGAGAAAATTTCACTCTTGTGGGCTGTCATATAGTAGAGTAAAAACAATAATGTTACAGATATACTCTTGTGACTTCTGAGTATGTAAGTAAGGGAAATAACTCTCTTCAGACTAATGGAACCTGGCTCATTATTCAGAGGCCAGTCTTAAGTGACTTAATAGTTATAACATTAAACTCATAAAGAAACTTAGATTAACTGCTTTAGAATTGTTAAAATGTGTAAATAAGACAGCATTTTTTTCCCTTTTCATTTTTCAGGTTTACAAATGAAAGTAACCAAACTGAAAAAGGAACGTATTTTGTAAGTATCAATATATGACTCTAATGTCTTATTTATAAAGGAATTTATACTGATGTCTTATTTGACCCCCATGTCTTATTTATAAGGAAATTAGCTTTGCTTAGTGTGGCTAATTGACAGCAAATTTTTCAAACTTTTAAAGTAAAAAGAATAACTTAATTTTGAGTGTAGTCTTACTTAATATTTTCATATATTTACATTTTAATATAATTTTTATCTTTTTCCTTGAAGTATCTATTAAGATGGGAACTGATCTGTAAAATCATTTTGATCTGTTAGCATTCTTTTCTCAACTGTGATTAACATCTGGAATTTAAGATACTACAAAAAGGAGGGCAGGATAATTCTGGGATTTCTAAGCTCATATGAGAAATGGGAACTAAATATTTTAGATCCCTTTAATTTGTTCAAAATTACCAGTGGTTCTGAATTGCTTTGGTTGTTAAGCCCACAATCAGATCTGATTATTTAAGTCTGGAGCAGATTTTTACTCATGGTTCTTTAGATCTTCCACATTCAGAAATCTGAAACAGGGCATGTATTAGAATATTATTAGTTATAACAAAAATTAATGTCATTGTGACCAGTACTGCTTTTGCTTTGCGGTATGTATGCCATACGTACCATTTGCTCAGTTACTTCATATTTCTTAAGTTTCCAAAAGCTAGCCCAAAGGTAGAGTTTACCAAGAGCCCATCAAACACACCTAGCTATTTTTTCCATTATAATCTGAAAATGAAAACTGCAGTTTTTCTTTATACCTAGAAAGTCATGTTGGAAAATTATTTACAGAAATAATATCATAAATTTTGTAAAGTTCTTTTTGAAGTAATTATTATTCTTAGCGATACTTAAATGTTTTGCATTTTTGAAAGTACGTATATGTTCCTACCTTAAAGATGTTTTTTTAAACATCCTTACTCATAGAATAATCCATTTCCCTGTTTCTGTGATAGAGCTGTGTTTAGTTTCCCTTGGAGGGATGTTTTTTTACTTATGAAAGAAATAAATTATTTCTGACTAGTACATTTAGGATATGTATCTTATTAGTTAGGATAATTTCTTACTGTAAGAAAAAAACCACCAGAAGTGACTTTTACAATAAGGAAAACATATTCTTTCACATAGAAGGCCCGAAGTAGGGAGATTCTAGGACTGGTTAATAGTGACTGAAAAATCATCAGGACTTGGGTTATTTCTGTCTTTTCTCTGTCATTTGTGCATTGGAGCCTTCACTCTTGACATGTAAAATGTCAAGATGGCCATCATCATTCTAGTTATCACTTGCAGGACCTCTGTGTGTCGCTTTTTACTAATTAAAAGTTTGCCAGAAACAACCCCCAGCAGACTTACTCTGACTCACTGATGATGATTATGTGCTCATTCTTAAACGGTACCTGGCAAAGGAAATTAACGTGATTTGCTTAGACTAATAAAGATTCTGACTGTGCTTTATATGTATTCTAGGATTGAGCAAATAAGTAAATAATTTATTGATAATGAGAGCCTTGTTTTTCACTGTCAGGAAAAAGAAGTTACAATAAGAAAAAGGAAATAGCTAGAATGAACCCTATACTGTTGGGTAGGAATGGTAGTTAATAGTATGAATTCATGGTTTTAAATATATAGATGAATACATATAAAAATATAGTTATGTGTTTGTGTGTGAGAGGACATACATGTTCTAGGTCTGATTCACTGAGAGGGCCTAGAAAAATAGTGATTCTCAGCACTAATGAGCACACCAGAAGCCCAGATCTTGATTTCTAAACAGGATCCTCCAGTAAAAGAAATCCAGGTTTTGTTTTGTTTTTTTAATTGGCTGGTGTTAGGACTTGAGGGTATGCAAAGTACAATATGAGCTGGAACATCTTGTAGTGTCAGAAAATAAGGAAGTGTTCAAAAAGTAATGGGGGTATGTTGCAGAAATTAAAAGAGACCTTAAAAAAACCTCCTAATGGCAAAATCTAGGACTACAATAAAATAATGATAATAATGAACTATTCTACCCATGGAATAAATGGAAAGTTCTTTTTTAGAGTTCCAATTATTAAATGTAGAAACAATGTTAGAAATAGAAAATCTTCACTTGGCAAAAATTACAGCAATAATTGCTGAAGGCAGGAATCATTATTGAGATTAAAACTAGTATAAGTATGATGAAAAACAGTAATTGTAAATTTTGCAGATTACTCAAAGTTTATCTCCAAGATACTTAATAATTGCAAAGGGGAAATTGTAATATCACAGTGGAGGGACTAGGTGGACTTCATCTCAATCAAATGTTCAGAGTTAATGTCGCTAGTAATCGGATATGTCAACCTCCTATACCTCCTGATAAAATTTACCAAGAAGAGCACCTTACCTCTGTTGTGCTTTTACCAAAAATACACAAGCCAAATTGTATCGTGGGAAATATGAGAAACCCAAGTTGAAGGACAATCAGTAAAACTGGCCAGTACTTTTCAGAAGTGTCAAAACTGTGAAAGACAAAGAGAGACTGTCCCAGATTGTAGGAGACATAATATTGAATACAATGGAGGATTCTGAATTGGATGCTAGACCAGGAATATGATCTTAGAGGGACAAGTGGAGAAATTTGAATAAAGCCTATGGATTAGTTAATAGTATTGCATCAGTATTAATTTCTTGATTTTGATAATCATGGTTATACAAGACATTAACATTTTGAGTAGCTGGATGGTAATAAGTATAGAGGTACTCTTTGTTCTATGTTTGTAACTTTTGTGTAAGCCTAAAGTTATTTTAAGATGAAACGTTAAAATTTTTTTTAATATTTATACCTTGAGTCTGGAGAGAAGATGAACTTTTCCCTAAGTAGCTGCTGGATATTGAAGAAAACCACTGTTCTAGCAGGGAATAAGAAGCAAATGAATGTTTAGATAGACAACCAAAAATGTCACTACAGTTAGACTAGTCCTATTCCTGTGGGTCAGAGAGTAGTAGAAAATATACCTTCTTTTTTTTTTTTGCACAGATTTTGTTTTGTTTCTGTGGGCAATAGGGACTTCAAAACCTTTTCAGCTTTTTAATGCACTTTAATATTGATGATATTACTTTATGTGTATATTAGACTTAATCTGAATAGTTACAGAAAACTGTATACATAAACTCAACCTATAACAAAAAATATTCCAAAAATAAATATAATGAATCACATCAGTTGCATGAGGAAAATACATTGATTTCTTGGGTATTAAGTAAAATTTCTCTTTCAATATCCGCTTCAAATAAAAAAGGGGGGATATCTTTGTTTCATTTACAAGTAAATAAGATTTTGATCACTCGTGAATTCCAGCCAAAATGGAGGCATAGGTAGACACACTGTGCCTCCTTGCACAACCAAGGTAAGGACAACAGCAAGTTTAGGGACAAAAACCAACCATAACTGACAGAAAATCAAGCTGTGTGGAAGTCGGACAACCAAGGAGTTAAAGAAGAAACATTCATCCAGACAGGTAGGAGGGGCAGAGCTAGGCAGCCAGGCAGAGAGAACTCTTGGCTGGCAGGCAAGTTGGCGGCTGGTGGACACAGTGAGGTGGTGGGGATCACAGACTGGGTGGTCCCACATTCACTTGCTGATAAACTGGGAGGAACAACTGGGGAGCAAGTCAGGCTGCACAACCCAGAGTTCAAGCTCAGGGAAATAAAGCCTCAAACCTCTGATTGAAAACACCTGCAGGGGTTAAGGCAGCAATGGGAGAAACTCCCAGCCTCACAGGAGAGTTTATTGGAGAGACCCACAGGGTCCTAGAACATGCACGAACCTACTCACCTGGGAATCAGCACCAGAAGGGCCCAATTTGCTTGTGGGTAGCAGAAGTGACTGAAAACTGGCAGAGAGCTAAGCAAGTGCCATTGTTCCCTCTTGGACACTTCCCCCACAGATAGCATCACAACACAGCTACGTGGGTTGCCCTGCCCTGGTGAACACCTAAGGCTCCACCCCTTACTATGTAACAAGCACACCAAGACAAAAAAACAATGGCCCAAATGAAAGAACAAATCAAAGCTCCAGAAAAAAAACAACTAAGTGATGAAGAGATAGCCAACCTATCAGATGCACAGTTCAGAACACTGGTGGTAGTCAGGATGCTCACAGAATTGGTTGGATATGGTCACAAATTTGATAAAAAAAAAATGAAGGCTATGCTAAGTGAAATAAAGGGAAATGTACAGGGAACCAACAGTGATGGGAAGGAACCAGGTCTCAAATCAACGGTTTGGACCAGAAGGAAGAAAGAAACATTCAACCAGAACAGAATGAAGAAACAAGAATTAAAAAAAAAAAATGAGAGGCTTAGGAACCTCCAGGACATCTTTAAACATTCCAACATCCGAGTCATAGGGGTACCAGAGGGAGAAGAGAAGAGCAAGAAATTGAAAACTTATCTGAACAAATAACGAAGGAGAATGTCCCCAATCTGGCGAAGAAAACAGACTTCCAGGAAGCTCAGAGAGGCCCAAAGAGAGAAGTTGGACCGAAAGAGGAACACACCAAGGCAAATCATAATTACATTAACCAAGATTAAAGAGGAGAGAATCTTAAAAGCAGCAAGAGGAAAGGAGACAGTTACCTACAAAGGATTGCCCATAAGACTGTCAGCTGATTTCGTGCAGGCAAGAAGGGGCTGGAAAGAAGTATTCCAAGTCATGAAAGGCACGGACCTACATCCAAGATTACTCTATCCAGCAAAGCTATCATTCAGAATGGAAGGGCAGAGAAAGTGCTTCCCAGATAAGGTCAAGTTAAAGGAGTTCATCATCACCAAGCCCTTATTACATGAAATGTTAAAGGGACTTATCTAAGAAAAAGGAGATAAAAAATACGAACAGTAAAATGACAACAAACTCACAGTTACTAACAACCAAACCTGAAACAAAAACAAACTAAGCAAACAACTAGAACAGGAACAGAATCAGAGAAATAGAGATCACATGGAGGGTAATCAGCAGGGGAGTGGGTGAGGAGAGAGGGGGAAAAGGTCCAGAGAATTAGTAGTATAAATGGAAGGCAGAAGATAGACAAGGAGAGGTTAAGAATAGTATAGGAAATGTAGAAGCCAAGAACTTATATGTATGACCCAAGGACATGAACTAAAGGGGGGAATATGGGTGGGAGGGGGATGCACAGGTCAAAAGGGAGTAAAAGGGGGGAAATGGGACAATTGTAATAGCATAATTAGTAAAATATATTAAAAAATAAAAGTAAATAGGATTTTCTTCAGTAATAAAAATACTTCATTTAAAATTGTGAAATGTACTTATTGTATATTTATCTTCATTGTTTATAATCCAGCTAGAGATGGTTTCCACCAGCCTGATAAATTAGAAGGTGAATACTATCAGTCACTTGATATGGTGATTTAACACATACCAAACAAAATAGCTAAGTACTGTTTGTCGGAGTTATTTTACAAGTCTCTCCTTTCCTGTATATAAGAATTCTTGTTCTCTCTGACCTGTTTTCATTTTATTCTTTGCTTTGTGGACTCTTATTTTTTATTTAAGTATAGTTGGTATACAGTTATATATTGGTTATCTTAGTTACAGGTCTACAATATAGTGATTTGACATTTTTATCTTACAGTGTGATCATACTTACTAATTGTAATAATTATCTGCCACCATGTAAATTTATCACAATATTATTGACTATATTCCCCTTCCTCTTTTCACCTATTCCTTCCCACCCCCCCATCTTCTGGTAAACATCCCTTTGGTCTGTTTTCTCTGATCCTGTTTTGATACCAAAAGTGTAATGTTTCGAAGTTGATTAATATTGAGCTCTTTATATTGTACCTTGGTTCAGTGTTGAAGTTAATGATCTTAGATGCTGGATGTAGATGCTGGATTAACAGCTATTGATTAGAATTACATCTTTCAAAGTCAAAATGTTGGTCACTTTTAAGAAGCAGTACTGACAAGTTCAGAAATCATAGTTTGCTATTTGATTATATATTTTTAAACTATGTTCACTAAGTTTTTTGAAGGAATTTAGTTTTATTAAAATGGATCCTTCATATAGGCCTAGTAATTTTATTTTCTAAAATATTACTATTTAAATGGTATATTTTTGTCTCTACAGTAGTATTTCTGTTAACTAGAATAAGAATAATATCTCTGCAGATTGAATTATTAGATATAATTAGAAATGATCTAGATTTGCTTATGACAAATGTATTTTTTATAACTGAGACTTTTTATACAAATTGTATTTCTCCACACCTCTAATCAAACAACAACCTGAAAAACCTTCTTAGATTTGTAAATAACTATTAAGTATTTTTAAAAAATCACCTGTAACCTGTCTGAATTTTAAAGAATGAAACACACCTGGTTTTTCAGTAGCTCATAATAATGCCTTCACCCTATAGCTTACAGAGTCATTTGATCCTCTTAGCAACCTTTTAATATAGATTAATTAATCTATGCCTGTGTACCTCAGGTAGCTTGGGGTTATACGTTTAGGAAACACAGGTAACTAAATTTCCTGAGTAATAAGAGAATTAAAGGATACTTTATGTTATAGTAAGTTAGATCTTTGCATTGTGGGAACAAGAACTTGGGTTTGCCTGTATATGATCGTAACCCCTTTCCCAGTATATTTTATAATAGATACTCAGGGACAGTAACAGTCAGGATGTCTTATCTGCATTTTGTTACAATAACTGTATTTGTAAGATATTATAGTCCTTAGGGATTCCACCTGGAAGAAGCACTTAGAAAAGTAATTGATAACTGTACTACAATTGTTCATTTTGAATTGTTTCAGAGCGATGTTTTTGATGATAGTTGTCTCTGCAGATGGCTAAAACTTCCCTTTAATACAAACTCATTTATAAAATTAAACATGTAGAAATGTTGACTATTGAATATTTTTTGGTTGAATACTTCCAAAATAGGGCCAGTGAAAACCTGGTACTGCTTATAAATTAAATACATGTTGTAGAAGCATTATAAAAATTTTATTATTAATTGAGACAGCTAAATTAACAAGTTTCAACTTTCTGTTACTATAGTTTTCAATTTCAGATGCCTGGATATGCATCAGAACTCTATTTGTTGTCTAACAGGAGGCTGTCTCAGATATATTGTTTTTTATTCAATATCAACTATTCAAACAATATTAAAGAAATATTCCTATATGTTAGGTATCTGACATTATAACTCTGAGCTCTTTCACTTTAAGTTGTTTACTTATCTGTTTTGCTGCTAGTAATACTACATTCTACATTTTAGTCATTTTGACACAATCATTTGGACATCTACTTTTTGTGGCAGACTGGTTTGTCATTCTTACTTGACATTTTAAACTCTTGAGGGGGCTGAGGGAAGATGTTAGAGCCACAGTATTATCTTTTATTTTCAACTTTAAGACAACACAGAAAATCCAAATCAAATTTCTAATGGGTTTTCTTACCATTAAAATATATGCATACTTTATATAATGTGATTTTTTAAAAATATAGTGATGGAGAGGTAAAATATGGCAGAACCTTGGAAAGTTACCAGAAAGTAAAATATAGTGATGGAGAGGTAAAATATGGCAGAACCTTGGAAAGTAACCAGATAATCTACTAGAAGAAAAGTTGAGATGTCTTTGTTCTTTCCTAACTATAAAATCATAATAACCTCCTTAAATAGAACATACTGTGTACCAGCACTGTTCTGCATGCTGTACATACATTAGTATGTAGTCCTTGCAAATGCCTTACATGAGAAATACATTGTATCCACATCTTTTAAGGCACAGAGAGTGTGAGTTACTTGTACCAGTTCATGCAACTGGTAAATGACAGAACCAGGATTCAAACCTAGGCGTCAGGATCTAGGGTTCATGCACTTCCACTCCACTCTAAGCCCTGGCTTAAAAATAATACCTGGTAGAAGTTTAAGCAACACAGATATAAATAAAATTGAAAGTGTGAATCCCTCAGGACAGAAATAGAGATGAAATGAGTAGAGATACTTGTTAATTTTATTAATGAATGTAGACAAATAAAAAACAGTAAATGTACATTTCATTGGCAGTTTTGACAATGTTGAGTCAATGGTGGTGTCACAGTCCACTCCATCTGTGTTCTGGCAATTACATGATGAACACCTGATACCTCAGCATAACACTTTCTAGTATAATTTGAACTCTGATTAATAAGATATTCAAACCTCACCTTTTAAGTAATTTGTTTTGGTACAGCAAATTCATGGTACATGTAAATGGTGAGACCCTCCATTGGAGTTTTTATGATATAATTATTCTGTTACAATATTTTTTCTTAAAAAAACTTATTTCTTGACTTTTAGAGATGCACAGAGGCTTGAAGAATTCTACAGCAGAAATCAACAGTTGAGAGAGCAACAGAAAGTTCTTCACGAAACCATTAAAGTTTTAGAAGATCGGTGAGTCTGGTTCTTGGGTCCTCTTGAGTGAAAGTTAATTTTTCCCCCTAATAGAATGTACCTTGGTTTTAATTTATAATCAGTTCTGAGACTGAAAGTGATCTTTGTTTCCCAACTTTATGTCAACTTTGGGTGAATACTTTGTGAAATTAAGGATATACTCTTGTATGCTTGTTTTTACTTTTTTCACTAATTATAGAAATCACATCAGTTTACCCTTTAAATGGTATTTCTTTATTTGGTATTTGATATAGAATGAGATTAACAGTAGCAATGTCCTAATGCAAAAATATTTGATGCTTTAATTCCATTTTTACTTCTGAGTAGCTGGGAATTCTCAGTTGTATTCCTTTTCTTAAAATTCTCACCCGAGGACATGTATATTGACTTTTTAGAGAGAGAAGGAGAGAAACATCAATCAGTTGCCTCTTGTATGCTCCCTGGCGGGGGACTGAACCCACAGCCTTTTGGTTTATGGGATGACACTCCAACCAAGTGAGCCACACTGGCCCCAGAGCATTCTACTCCTGTTTTCCTATTCCTGCCATTCTCTCCTCTTTCCTGCATGTTCTTCATTTCCAGGCAGTCTAGGGATTCTTCTTTCTGAATACTGTATTCCCAAGATATTGCCTGTTACTTACTTCACCTCCACATACAAATTTCTTTCTGTCTCACTCCTATGAGATTAATACCTTGCATTAGAAAAGGCTTCCAGATTTTGCTGCATTCCTTTGTCTGAACAGTCGATGTCTGTCAAGAAAGTATCCAGGCCAACCATGTACTATGAAAAATAAAGACATTTATTGAAGAAGATACAGATACAAGAAACATTGTACATAGGACAATGACACCTCAGTCCCCTGAGAGTAGGCACCTTGGGACCTAACACAGTTCTCCCAATCACCATTAGTTGCTCCATTGTATTTTCCTGAATCTCATTGATGGTCTGAAAATCTCTTCCCTTTCAAACGTGATTTTAGTTTTGGGAGAAGCCAAAAGTCGCAGGTTACCAAATTTGGGGTGTAGGGGGGCTGAGTCACCTGGGTGATTTGATGTTTTGCCAAAAAACTGCACAAGATGTGATGCATGAGCAGGTGCATTGTCGTGATGAAGCTGCCAATCACCGGTTGCCCATAGCTTTAGCCTTCTGAGTCATCTGAATGGTTTCCGCAAAGGAATGTTTAAGTTTAACACAAAATTTGATGTAGATTCGTTGCTCTACTTGCTCAGTTGTTTTGAATTCGACAGCCATGTAGTACACATGCTCACCCAACAGTATCTACTGCCCCCACTGACTAGCAGAGTGAAGTAGTCATTGTTCATGCATGTGCATTCCAGGTCACTCTCTTTGGCTGCCAGGTTACATGTCATGCAGACCATTATTGTTATATTAACAATGGCTGAATTTTTTTGGACAGACCTCATAAGTGCTATATAGGACCTTGAACTATTTATAATAAACAATGTTTCTTTACAGTTACTATTTTTTCTGTATTACTATTTTTGTTTATGTTACAGAAGGTCTGGTGGTTTGAATTTGCTACTTTGCCTTTAGTGGTGGAATAATCTAATACTCTGCACATATGCAAACTGAACTTGAGTACTCTTCCATAACTATCTCAGTGTATGCACATTTAATGGAATAGGCAGCCTATAGTGGAATAAAGCTCCATGTGCTTTAGCATCATAGATGTGAACTTGAGTTTCAACTTCACATTGTATCTTTAATTACTGTTATTTACTCAATAACAATAAATAGTTAAGTTTTTAGTATGTTCTAGGTGTTGCTCTAGGGACTAGGGGTTTCTAGTATGCTTAGTATGTCATGAAACTGATACTTAATTTTCAAAGGTTGGGAGTGAGTTATACAAATAAGATTTCAGATTTTAAATGCTATGAAAAAATATAAAATTGAATGATGCAATTGAGTGACCACAGGCATAGGGAAATGAATGGATATTGATGGATAGCAGGGATGGCCTTTCTGAGGAGGTGCCATTTGAACTGAGACCAGAATAATACAAAAAAGAGCCAGTCATTTGAGGAACTGGAGATTAAAAAGAGAACAGACAAATGCAAAAGCCTGAGGTATAAATAAGTTTTTAAATCTTTAAAGAATAGAAATTCCACTGTGGTTCTAACTTAATGCATAAAAAGATTAATGATAGGAGGTAAGATTGGAAAGGTAGGAAATAAGTAGGTTATTTGAGGACATAGGCAAATAGCTTGGATTTTAATTGAAATGAGAGGCCATTGGAAAGTTTAAGCAGGGGGAATTTCAAGGGGATGTAAGTGGGTACCAGTAGCATCTACTGTATCCAAAAGGAAAAGTCAAGTACATAGTTGTACATACAAGTCTGAACTAACTGGAGAAATTAGAGCTACAGATAGAAATTTGGAAGTCATCATCCACATAGAAATAGTACTTAAAACCTCAGGACTGGCTCCTTAAGGACATGTTTTTTATGGTTTGTTGTTGTTGTTTGTATTTTTCTTCTTCGTTTTCTTTCTTAAATATGTTTTTCCCTCCACCCCAAAGGACTTTTTAGAGTGTAAGAAGAGAATAAAAGAGGTCTTAGAGCTGAATCCTAGGTCATACTGATTAAGGTCTAATGAAGAATAAGGACCCAGTCAGCAAAAAAGATTGAGAAAGAGAAATTATCAGAGTAGGAGAAAAAACTGGGAGCATATCACATACCAATAATACCTCCTTCACATGGGCTGTTTTGAAGATTAAATGAGACAATGCAAGCAAAAGTACATAATAGAAGTTTTTAAAGACTTGTAATAGCCCTCCTACATGGTGAATATGATTCCAGTCTTTAGCACTGTAGTGTACTATATACCACAGCCAGATCAGTCTCTCTCCAGCTGAGATATCAGGAAGCTGGAAGGCCATCTATCCTTCTCACCCCTCCACCTCAGTCCAGGATTTAAAAGGAAAATCATCAGTTACTCTTCCATTAGTGTGGTGAGGCATTTCCTTCTATTTTCTCTGTGTATGTAGTAGAGGATTTGGGAGAAAGGGTAGAAAGCATATCATACATAGCCTTTAACTCTCCAGTGATTGAAGCACTTCTTTCTCTTATTTAACCATATTTTTTCTCTCATCTCTACCACACCCTTTCCACAAGCATTGAGGTTCTTTCTTCACCATAGTAGTGGTAGTAATGGCAAGAGATTAGAAATTTTCTGTTCAGTGATTCCTACGTAAAGAAAAATTTAAGAGTTCTTTTAACTAAATATGTAAGTTTCAATTCTCTGAGAAGCAAACATGCAAAAGATCTTGGAGGCAACTGTAGGATAAATGAGGGAAGCTCTCCTTTGAGATCTCCTTTCAAAAATTGAAGGAAAAAGGAAGGTCTTGGTAATACTGAATTGCAATTTTAAGAAAGCTTTAGCAAGACAGCTGAGGAGTCCTGGAACTGTAGTATACCTGCTCTATTCATTCATTGGCTGGCATCTGACTCTGGAATGTCTGGTGTACTCACCTGTATAATAAACAGGTGAAGGATTTCAGAGCCCAGCAGCTGCAGCCTGTGATTTTACTTTCCATAGGAGGAAATGCGTTTTTGTGGCTGCCACTCTTGAGGAGTGATTGTATTTATTTTCAGCATACTTCCAGTTTTATTTATTTATTTATTTATTTATTTATTTATTTATTTATTTATTTATTTCTCCCAGCACACTTCCTGTTGAGTAGGTCATTGGCAAGTTTAGGGCCCAAAGTTAGTACACTGAAAAAAAAAAATCACAAGATAAAGTTTTCATTATATTTTGTTTGAATTGGCTTAATAAGAATCAACTCTCCATTTTATTCCCAGGATACAGTGTTCTTCATCTTAGCCCTTGAAGACACTGTTGTAGTATCTTCTGATTATTTCTCCACTTCATGATTTCCAGTTTGGACTCCCAGTTCTTATTTTTTGTATTTTGTGTTTCCCTTTTTAAGTGATTTTTTCTTTTCCAGGCCCACTCTGAGAAAAAAATGTTAGTGGATGAATGCCTCCACACCCTTCCCATTGAAGTATTTCCTAAATTACTCTTATTCAATCCATATATTTAATTGTGAAAATTATCTTTTTGTGGAGTTTCTGGACTGGTGGAGATGTGGGGGGAGTGATGTGCCTGGGGAAGGGATAAAAATATTTTCTTCAATTTCTTAAAACTAGATTCTTTGCTATTTTTGATCTGTAGTCACTAATTTTACGTGAATGTCATGCTTCTCTGTTGTTTCTTATCCTAAATGTTCTTTTGCCTTCCATTCTCTTTACATTTAGGTCCTTAGAATTCATTACGTGCAATTAATTTGGTGGTAGGGGCAAGCAGTATAATTGATTTCTTTATACATAGCTTTTTCTCTCCTTCAAATATAAATTTGAAATTTCCTTTTGGGCATATTTTAAGATTTATCCCTCATTTTATGAGGCCTCATATAATTAGGCCAAGAATGATCTAGATCCAACCTTTTTTTTTTTTATGGAGGAAGTGGTATGTATTGGGGACTCACTTTGGATGCAGTCATCCAGCACTTAATCTGCACATTGACACTGTAAGATTGATGGTAAGTCTATTTTATATGTGAGGAAACTGAGCTGGGAAAACGTTAAGAAACCCCAAGGATCATACAGTTAATGTATAATTAGGTAAAATTTGACCCTCCAACTCCCCCAGTTTCTACTGTTTCACAATGCCTTGGCGACATCAAAGTATTTGTGCTTGAGCTAAAGTTACCAAGAGATACTTTGAGTAGTCTTCACCATTGCCTATTATCTAGTCTGTTTTCTAGGAAGTGTTTTTGTTGTTGTTTTTTTTAATTGCTACTAACTGAATATTACCTTTAAATGTCTATATAGGTAATATTTGGTTAAAATTCTGCCTTATATAAAATTTCATTTTAGTTTTATGTTATATGTAAGAATGATGTCTAGAGCAAGCTTTATAAATCTATAAAAATTAGTGCTTTTCTGAGACCTAAAAAGCAACATACATTTTGTTAAAATTTCTAAATAGTAATTCTGAAATTTGCCATCTGCCTGTTATAAAATGAAGTGATTCTTACACTGATGTTGTAAAAACATTGTGAGATGTTTAGAGGAAAGGACTTGTCCAACAAAGGTAAATTAGATAATAAAAAGTTCTAATTTTATGTAGCTCATTTATGCTTTACGATTATTACATTTACAAACTTTCTTTTAAGGAACCAAAATATTTTAATAAATCTAGGAAACAGTCACAGTGCTGGATAAGTAGATAGAATGCATTTTTTAAAAAAATCTAAACAAAGCAGTTAAACTACAGTTGTCCGGTAGATTTTAATATTTTTAAAAGTATTTTGACAGTCATTGGAAACTCATCTCAACTGTTGTAAAAAGGGAAAATTGGTACTCATACTTAGAGGATCTTTGTTTCTACAACCATTTTCAAATAGTTGCTGACTTTCTTACTCACAGAATTGAATTTAAACTTCTTCAGGAGAACTCTGACTTCCTAGAATAGGTTAAGTTCTGCTGTGTGCTTTATACTTCATAGTATCCTGTATTCTGTCTTGTTATGAATCATATTTTATTATAATTATTTTTATTGTCTTACTCTAGCAGACTGTTGTAAATTTTTTAAAAGAAGTGGCATTGTTGTTAGCCACCCTTGTATTTATAGCACCTAGAGTACTTGTAGGCATTCAGTGAAACACTTCTGAATGAAAATAAATCTGAGGAAATTTTGGGGTATACGAAGCAACTGTGCATACTTGTTAATCTGGTGACTTTTAATTGTAAAATGAATGCTATTCTTCATTTCTATGAACAAACTGGGGTAAAACTCAGAATACATGTTGCTGTGTGCTCTTACAAGTGGGTTACTCTCTTCCTTTCTCCCGTTGATTGCATTTTTCTGTGAAATTCAGGCTATTTTTTTGTTTCTCTGACAGCTGCAGTGGAAGGTAGGAGAGAGGGAAGCAGTAGAACCTTACTGATGGAAATAGCATATTTTCTCACGTCCATTTAAATTCAAACCAGAATCAGTGAGCATTTAGGAACTGACTCACAGATACTTTCAAAACTGGCAGTTGGTTGGAGAAATCTGGAAGTAATGAACAAGCTGTGCCAGTGGCATTTTTCAACTTGGAAACTAGGGCTCCCCAGGGATTATTTTCCATTATACTTTATAGCATTTTAATATATCAGATATGATTTCTTAGAAAAAATAAAGTGTTTAGTTTTTAATGACAAACTAATAGAATGACATTTAAATAAGTCATTAAAAGTGTTTAATGCCCATCTTCTTGGATCACAATGGCATGAAACTAGAAACCAAACTCAAGGCAAGAACTCAAAAACATTCAAATACATGGAAGTTAAATGCCATGTTATTAAATAATGAATGGGTTATCAATGATATCAAGGAAAAAATCAAAATAATACCTGGAAACAAATGAAAATGAACATACAACAACCCCAAATCTATGGGACACAGTAAAGGCAGTATTGAGTGGGAGGTTCAATGCATGACAGGCTTTACCTCAAGAAGCAAGAAAGATTGCAAATAAAAACTCTAACCCTACACCTAAAAGAACTAGAAAAACAATAAACAAAGCCAAGAGTAAGTAGAAGGAAGGAAATAATCAAGATCAGAGTGAAAATAAATGACATAGAGACTAAAAAAACAATTCAAAAGATCAGTCACACCAGGAACTGGTACTTTGAAAAGATACACAAAATTGATGAACCTTTAACCAGACTCATCAAGAAAAAAAGGAGGACCTCTTTGGGAGGACCCAAATAAATAAAATCAGAAATAAAAGAGAAGTAACAACGAATATCACAGAAATACAAAGGCTTACAAGAAAATACTATGAATAATTATATGCTAAGAAATTGAACAGCGTGGATGAAATGGATAAATTTCTGGAAACATACAACCTTCCCAAACTAAGAATCAGAAATTGAAACAGTAATCAAAAAACTCTCAGGAAACAAGTGCTGGACAGAATGGCTTCACAGGTGAATTTAGCAGTCCCTCAGAGAACAACTACCACCTGTCCTCAAACTGTTTCAAAATTTTCAAGAGAAGGGAAGACTTCCAAGCTCTTTTTATGAGCCTGAGAAGGGAAGACTTCCAAGTTCTTTTTATGAAGCTGGTATCCTAATTCCAAAACCAGATAAAGACACAAGAAGGAGCCCTGACCAGCATGGCTCAGTTCTTTGATCATTGTCCCATAAAGCAAAAGGCCACTGGTTTGATTCCCAGTCAGGGCGCATGCCTGAATTGTGGGCCTAGTCCCTCGTAGGGGCATGTGTGAGAGGCAACCAATCAATGTTTCTCTCACACATAGATATTTTTTTTCCTCCTTCCCTTCCCCTCTCTAAAAACAAATAAAATCTCCCCCACTCCCTCCAAAAAAAAAGACACAACAAGGAAAGAAAATCATAGGCCAATATCCCTGATGAATATAGATGCTAAAATGCTCAACAAAATGTTTTCAAACTGGATCCAGAAATAGATTAAAAAGATCACACACCATGATCAAGTGGGATTTATCCCAGAGATGCAAGGCTGGCACAATATCCACAAATCAGTAAACATGATGCATCACATAAAATGAAAGACAAAAAACACATGATCATGTCAATAGATGCAGAAAAGGCATTTGATAAAATTCAGCATCCATTTATGATGAAAACACTCAGTAAGCACGAATAGAGGGAGTATACCTCAACATAATAAAAGCCATATATGAAAAACCTAAAGCTAACATCATACTCAATGGGCAAAAACTAAAAACATTTCCCTTAAGATAAGGAACAAGGCAGGGATGTCCACTTTTACCACTTTTATTCAACATAGTACTGGAAGTTCTAGGTATAGCGATCAGACAAGAAGAAAGGCATCCAAATTTGAAAGGAGGAAAATTCATTCACAGACAACAAATTCTACATAGGAAACTCTATAGATTCCACCAAAAAACTACTAGACCTAATAAATGAATGTGGCAAAGTAGGGTACAAAATTAATTCTCAGGAATTGATGGCATTTTTATACACCAATAATGAACTATTAGAGAAACTAACAAAATCCCTTTTACTGTTGCATCAGCAACAACAACAAAAAAAAATAGCAAACTACCTAGGGATAAATTTAACCAAGGAGGTAAAAGACCTATATGAGAAAAACTATAGGATACTTGAAGAAATTAAGGAAGGTACAAATAAGTGGAAGCATATATAGTCTTCATGGATTGGAAGAATTAACATTATTAAAATGTTCATAGTGCTCTGGCTGTGTGGCTCTTTTGGAGCATTGTCTCATAAACCAAAAGGCTGCAAGTTCAATTCCTGATCAGGGCACATGACTAGGTTGTGGGTTTTATCCCTGGTCAGGGTGCATTCAAGAGTCAGCCAATCACTGTTTCCCTCTCACATTGATGTTTTTCTCTCTCTCCCCTTCTCTTTCTCTCTACAATCAATAAGCATGTCCTTGGGTGAGGATTAAAAAAGAAAAAAAGCTTTTGAATTCCTTGATATTTAGTATTAATTCAACTATAAAAAGTTGTTGAGCACTCGTGTTATAATCTATGCTAAGCAAAGCAACTGCAAGCATTTTTAAAATATAATTCTGCCCTGTACTGGGGTTCATATTTTGGCAATAATAAATTAAAACAAAGTTAGTTTCTTCAATAAATAAGTTGCCTTGAGTAAAGTTTAAAATTGGCATATTTTTGCAGAATTTCACTCAGAATTGCAGTCTGTAGAAAGTGATGTCATAGTATGATTTCAGCCTATTTCAGAATTTGTTAAAGATGTGAATATATCATAAAACCAGTTAATTTTCTCTATACTTGCCAAGTCAATTCTTTAGATCTTCATAAAGCATAAAAATCTTGGGGTACAAATATAAATATCTTTTAGTAGAAAATATTTTGATGTTTTCTTTGAATTTCAGCTTTATTGAGGTATTATTGACAAATAAAATAGTAAAATGAAGTGTGCATCTTAGTGATTTGATAAATATATACATTGTGAGAGAATTTCTACCCTCTGGTTTTAACGCATCAAATCACCTCACCTGCTTACTTATTTTTTTTTATGAAAACGTTTAAGTTCTATCCTAAAAATAATTTGTTTTTGTTCTGTAGATTAAGAGCAGGATTATGTGATCGCTGTGCAGTAACTGAAGAACATATGCGAAAAAAACAGCAAGAATTTGAAAATATCCGGCAACAGAATCTTAAACTTATCACAGAACTTAGTAAGTTTCCTTTCTTCATTTAATAAGTATTTAAAGCAAAATATACTGTTATTAAAACCTATTAATAAATTGGTTGCAACCAAATAAATGGATTGTTTACATGTATTTTTCTTATTTAGGAAAAAGTTTAAATGTCCTTTTTCCCTTTGTTAGATTTAATCTTATTATTTTAGTAAGAAATACTTAACAAAAGGTTATGTATATGCTGTCCACATTGGCCCTGAAGTCTCACCAGCTCTAAGACAAGAAGCAAATTTCTTACAGATATGTCTATATTTGCTTCTTTGGTTTTATCTTTATTTTATGTAATTTGACTGTTAAGTTAAATACAAAGCAAACAATTTAGTGTTCTACAGAAGTGTATACTTTTTTTTTTGCTTTTTATGACGTACTATTACAGGTATACCATTTTCAGTTAGGCTCCTTATCCACTTAATGTAGGGTTTCTCTCACTCTTAGCCTTTTTCTCATAACCTTTTTCTCTTCTACTGCCTCTCTTAATTTTCTCTTTGACCTGTTCATATACTCTTAGTCACCCTTACCTGGATTCCCTATAAGCAACTGACAGTCCACTTGTCCAAAATACAATTAATCTTCTTTTCCAGCCTAATTCCATCTTGACTATATTTTTTTCTATTTTGTTACTCAAGCAAAAATGCATGGATACATGCTTATTATTTTAGAAAGAGATAAAAAGAACATGGTAGTTACTGCTGACAGTCTGATAAGTATCTTTCCAGGTCCAGGTTTGTCTCTCTCCCTGTCTCTGTCTTGTCTTTTAAATTTTAGTGGAATCATATAATACTTTTTGTTCTGACATGTGTTATTGTATGTTATATCTTAGAAGTGTTTGCATGTTAATATAGTTAGGTCTACAGATTCTATTGTGTGTTTGTGTGAATACATGCATGTGTTTATTAAGGAATACAAGATAATGAGTAGAAATTAACATTACATTTCAATAAACATAGCGGAGATCAATCATTATGTTATCATTGATACTGAAGATAATCTCCAGTAATGTTTATGTATAGTACTCAGATTTCCAGTAACTTTAACTGTCTGAAAATAGCCAAAAATTCCAAGTAAGCAAAAGACGTAGCTTTAAGGAATAGGACAGTGTTCTTTTTCATTGCTGCATTGTAGCATAGATGTTTCATTGTGTAGATGTCATTTAGTTAGCCATTCTCATATCGATGGACAGCTCAATTATTTTGTTTGTTTGAATGTTTGAAATTATCCATTTCCCTACATCTTCTTCAATTTTGGACAAATGTAGTAGTTGATAATAATCTAGTATGTGAAGAATGATACCTTTTTAAAATTAGCATTCTCCTTATTATTGTCCAGATCAAGTATCTTTTCACATGATGTTCAGTTTGCATTTCTTCTTGAATGAATGACTTGAATATCCTTTGTCTGATTTTCAGATAGCTAAAATACTTCATGAGTTTTTTAGACTATAGGTCTGTTACTAATCTTTTCTCTAATAACATCTATATCTCCTTTCTTCCACACTGAGAACCCTGGTTCTCAAGAACACAGAAATAATAGAATTAAAATACCTCCTAATTACTCATTTTTTAATCTCATATTACTAGCTAGTAGTCTCAGAATAACACCACTCATAGTACCACTGATATAATTATTGAAAAGTTCGGGAAACCTAATTTTACATTAAAATGAACAACAGAAAAATCAATGAAGTCAAATTCCTAAGTTATTATAAGAATCAAAACTTCCTGGCTGGTGTAGCTCAGTGGATTGAGCGCGGGCTGCGAACCAAAGTGTCTCAGGTTCGATTCCCAGTCAGGCCACATGCCTGGGTTGCAGGCCACGGCCCCCAGCAACTGCACATTGATGTTTCTCTCTCTCTCTCTCCCTCACTTCCCCCTCTAAAAAATAAATAAATAAAATCTAAAAAAAAAACAAAAACAAAAAAGAATCAAAACTTAATATTTATGAGTTCTTGGTGTTTCTGTTTTATTGCTATTTTTTCTTCCTATCCTACTTTTCTTTTTTGTCATTACTCTTCCTAGTTATAGAATTTTTAAAAGATTTTATTTATATTTTAGAGAGAGGGGAAGGGAGGGAGAAAGAGAGGGAGAGAAACATTGATGTGCTAGAAAAACATGGATTGGTTGCCTCTCACATGCCCACAACTGGGACTGAGCTCACAACCCAGGTATGTGCCCTGACTGGGAATCTAACCAGTGACCTTTCGGTTTGTAGGACGACACTGACCCATACCAAGCAGTCATCCCAGTTACTGAATTTTGAGGATATTTGTTTTTCTTCTTTTTTTAATTTGATTCTTTGTGTGTGTGTGTGTGTGTGTGTGGTACTATCAATTTATTGAAGGAAAATGTCCGGGTTGTGTCACTTACTTTTGGACACATTCCAAGCATCACAGTTTTAATTTGATTTTTTACTGTTTTTTTTTAACTCCCATTTCTGTTCTTTTTGATCAATCTTGAAATTTTGCCATGCATTTCTAACAGTATAAAGTTGCTATCTTAACTCTGTTATGAATCACTTTAGTTCTGATCTGCTAGTGACAGCCTTTCTGGTTTTTCAGTATTGTAATTGACTTTCCTTTAGAATTGTTTTGTCATTTCATTGGATTTGGACAGGAAGAGTCAAGTAAACCATCTTAATCAGAATCTTTGACATTTTTTTACCCTACAAAGGATGAGTTGCCAAATAACTACTGAATCTGCCTCTGTAACAGCTCTTTTGCTTTTTCTCATTCACTATTTCTTCACTTTGCACATTAGTTCTGATACTCATTTTGTTAATAGTAGCCTGCCTGACTTGTCAGTGCTTTCTTCTTACTTTGGTAAATATTCCTACTAACAAATCAATCTTCGCATCATTCACCTGTGAAAAATAACTGATAATTTTTTAAAATAAATTTCAGACTTCTTAGCCTGCTTTTAAAGACTTTCTACCACTTATACCTAGTATGTCTTTATTTTTTAATCTTCACCCAAGGATATGTTTATTAATTTTAGAGCAAGAGGGAGAGAGAGAAATATCAATGTGAGAAAAAAACACTCATCAATTGCCTCCCACACGCACCCTGACCAGGGAGTGAACGCACAACCTAGGTATGTGCCCTGACTGGGAATGGAACCCGCAGCCCTTTGGTGTATGGGACCATGCTCCAGCCAACTGAGCCATCCAGCCAGGGCTACCCAGTCCCTTTCTAACTTTGTTGAGTTAATTCTCTGCATAGAGTAGTCACTATTCAGTTCATTTGGCCTCTTTGTGATGAATTCTTTTCTGATCTTCTCAAGTGCCCAGAGGAATCTTTTTCCTTGAAATTTACTTTAGTACTTTATCTGTTCCTTGCTGTATTTTGTCACTTTTAGCTGTATAAAACATGTTTATACAATAGCTTGTCTCTCATTAGGCTATACTTTTCTTTAGGTCATTTTCCAAATCTGAAGTTTTTTTAGATTCTTCACAGGAGGTAGTCTAGCAACCTCACAAATTGTTAATAGTCAAAAAATTTTTGTTTACTCAATGTAGAAAAATATGTTTAGATTTCTAAAATACTAAATTTAATTAACAAATTTTTAGAATATGATTAACTGTCTTTGGTAAAGGTTCATCGTATTTATTGCAACTCAATCTTTTTTTTATATTCCTACTAGTAAAACACATGCTTAACCACTGACATCATACTAAGGATTGTAAGAATTTTGTACTGGCCCAAAGTTGAGTTTCTGCTTTATAAATTAAATAAGGATAGGTAAAGAAAACTTAGTTGAGGTAAATTCAAACAAATACTACTTCAGTAGATATGTTTACATTATTGATACCATAATTATTCATGAAACAAAGAATTACTAAAGAAAATATGATGTGTGTTTCTGTTTTAAAAATTATGCTGATATTCAGTGTTCTATTACTTTTATAATTGGATTTATTTCAAGATAAATGACTCTCACTAAATGGTATTTGAAATTAGTAGGACTGAGTAACCAGATGGAATGCTTTCTTGTCCTCAGTATGAATAATTAGACTCTGCTCCCCAGTACATGAGGGTTTTGGGGGGGGGGTTTGTTGTGTTGTTTTTTTTTGCCCACACACATTACACAGAATTATCAGTCAATCATTTACATGAACTGGTACAGTATGAGATGTAATCACTACCTAGTAACAAATTAGTTTTTCATGGTAACATTAACCCTGACTAACATTTTGACTTAGAACTAGAAATCCTAATGTCTCTGTACTTGTTGGCATTATTGAAAAAGACTGACATATATGTTAATGGAGTTAATAGTATGTGACTTCTCTTTCACATTATATTTAAGTGAATGAAAAGAACACTCTACAGGAAGAAAATAAAAAGCTTTCTGAACAGCTGCAGCAGAAAATCGAGTAAGTATTTCTTCTAAATTGCAGTAGAAAAGTGAATTTTTTTTGCCAATTTTTCTTTCTTTGTTTTATTTACTTCACAAACTAAAGATAAATTGAGTTGCAGATTTCATTTTAAAAAATTAAAAATTTTTTTGCAATAAAAATAAAATCACTATTTTTCATGTTTTGGGAGTACATACAGAAAATGTATATGCATATCTTAGATTACTGTGAGAGTATATAGAGAAAATATATCTGAACATAATAATTTAAAGCATTTTAATTTTAATGATTATTATAAATAGTACATTATTAAAATACTTATATTTCAAATAAATACTTGAGTTTTGTTACCTTTCTTCCAGCCCTGTCCCAGAAGCTTCATAAAAACAAACTGAATAAGTATTTCTTCTTACACATTTGGCAGGCCACACTCTTAAAGAATAAAAATAACTTTTATCCTATTTACCAGTTACTCTTCTTTGTGTTTTATGTTTATTATTTCTGTTGTTCACTATGATTCTTCAAGGTGGTTTTATCTCTACTTTATGGATGAGGAAACCAAAGCTCACAAAAGTCAAATAACTAGCCTTGGTCTCACTGCTAGTAGGTTATAACACCATCACTCAGACCCATATTTTCTGACTGTTCTTTTCATTATGCAACAGCATCTCAAAAAAATACTGCATTTTGCCGTGTATAATGTGCTCCCACTGTATAATCTGCACCCACATTATTGGCCCAAACTTTCAGGAAAGAAAGTCTTTCATTTTAATTCAACTTTTTATTTACTTATATTTAGAAACAAAACCAATTATCATATTCCAGGGTATTATTTTGCATATAGATATCATTATTGCTTCTTAGAGTTATACTTCTAATGCGTAAGCAGCATAAATAAAAGAATTAAAAACATTTATATAGATACAGAATTAGTACTACCCATGTATAATTTGCATCCTTACTTTTCCCTCAAAAATTTGGGCAAAAAAGCGTGTATTATACACGGCAAAATACAGTTATCTATTCTGGGGGGTATGGTCTGACTGATGCAGAGAGGAGATATGATTGCCTTTTATTTTCCATTTACATAAAGCTTATGATTTTTTTTTAAGAATTAGGATTTAGGATAATCCTAATGGTTTAGGACTCTTAAAGATTTGTATTTGAGTAGACATGTATAATAATTTCGGTACAAACTATGCAGAGGTAACATTTTTTTTGGGTTAGAATAGTTATTGTCTTTTGTATAAACATATCCTTACAGGTGGAGTTAATATCCTTATCAGTGTATTTTTGTGTAGTGGATGTCCAGCGGGATTTTGATATTCCTCCTATGTGATCAGTCCACTGTATACTGGTAGCCAAAGAGAATTTTGAGGAAGGATGATAGTCTGATGAAGAAAGAAGGCTAGGGATCAGACTGAGGTTATCAAATGTGTACATGAAAATGTCCTCATGTTACAGATTGAAGTGAGGCTAGAACATAGATTCACAATCTTTTTATATAATTCCAAAACCTAGACATATTTTTTGAGATGTTATTCACAACTGAACCTTACCTTAACTGACAGAATGCTATTTATAGTTCTTATTTATCCCACCACTTCATGTAAGTATTCAGTGCTTTGCTGTGAAAATATCGATGTGCTTGACTGCAGGATTGTAACACTTCCACTGGAGGTGTTATGTAATAATCTGTTTATGCCCTATATTATCCTTCATGTAAAGAAAAGAATCTGGACTCCGAATTACATCTGCTTCCAAAGATTACATAGATAATTGTCAACCTGTATTAATTTATATTATGTGAAGTTATTTAGCACAGGTAGCTTAAGATATTTTGAATATATCAACCTTGGCATTTATGAATACTGAAGATGTATAATATTTACATATTACATAGTGGTTAATACAGAATTACCTCAACAACCAAGGTATATAAAGTATATTGAAATAAAATAATGTCACTTGCTTAGTAGAAATATTGATTCCGATTACTTTAAAATTAGTTTATTTTTAGTGTTCTCAAAAATTTATATACTTTTCATGTTGAGGCGCTTTGATATTTTAGAAAAGATGTAAAAGCTGAAGTTTAAATTACAGTAAATATTAATCATGTGGTTGAGCTCAGGGCAAGTATGTTTATTTCGGATATGCCTTAGTTAAAATAGTGTAGGAGGTAATTTATTGTGTCTTTCAATTCTCTCTTGAAATTTAAGATAGTTGTTATTCTTATAAGGCAACTTTTTTGTAGCTTGCTCTCTTTGAGCAAATTTTCTTGGCAGCTTAAAAAAAAATAGCAAGTGTTGTCTCATGATGGTACCTGGTTTCCTCTGACTACCTAGCTGTAACATTGTTATGTGCCTGAAATTCCCCTGAACTGTAGAAAAAAATATTGACCTATATTTCTGCTTGTAAAATGCAATAATGCTAACTCACCTAAGCTGGTTTTGATGTTACAGATGCCTTATATGGTAGGACAGTTATTTAGTGACATTATAGTGAGAAATTATTCAGTAACAATTTGTCATTATAAAGTTTAATAGTTGATACACACACACACGCGCACGCACGGCAAATAATTAAATAAGCTAGGTATTGAGGTCATTACTCTTTGTTTCAGGAAATGAATGTGCTGGTTCGGTGAAAATCAAGAGTCTCAAGTTAAGTTCATACACTTAAAGACTATAGGATTCATTTCATTCGCTGCCCTCTTCTGAGTGGACAGTTAAAAATAAAGTTGGTTTTATTTTGTTTTTTAAGATGAACTACGCTGCTGTCTTCTGAATTGAATTCCTTGTATGACTTCTTTAACAAATAGCATTGAACAAACACCTCTAGCACGAATTCACTCTCTCCCAAGCCTATTTGCTTTTAGTGAGATGAAAGTATTAGAAAGTTCTTTCTAACTCTGTGTAGGAATTGCTGTACTTGTAAGTTATATTTGTCAATTCTGATTTTGGTTTCTCGGGCCTTTTCTACATGGTAGTCCTTTGTGTGCATTAAGACAGGCATCATGGCCCTTCTGAGTCTTGTCTTAGAGTAAATGTCCTCTGTTCATGAGCTGTTTTTCATGTGGTATGACTTCAAGACTGGTCAAAATACCATTTCTCTTTAATGTTTTAGTTTTGTCAATATGTTCATTAAGAACTCAGAATTCCAGGTGTAGTCTCACCAATAGAGTAATAGATCCATTTTTTCTGTATCTTTTTCATTTATATTAATGTGGTCAAAACATACATACTAGGGTGGTTCCTTATGGGTATACTATGCCCTATCCTCTACTTGTAAACTTGTTTTAGCTCTAAGTACAGGAATTCAGTCATGGCTTCACCATAGGTTTTTAAAGAAACCTTGTATCATTTAGCCTACTCCCTCATTTTAAGATAATAGCATTGTTTATTAAATACCTATTTTCTGGGCATTGGTATCCTTACATGCTTTTTTCCTTTTCACAACTTGCCTACAAAAATGAAGTAGGAACATACAGTACCATGCCTACTTTACAGGTAACTGAGGCTCATAGAGGTTAAATAACTTACACAGTGTAACTAGTAAGTGTCAGATCCAGGGTTTAAACCCAGATATACCTCACTTCAGGGTTTGTATACCCTTTTATACTTTTCTGCTAAAACAGCCTCACACATTTGCCTACGTAGTATCACCATGTGGATGGCTGAACCTGGATTCTTTCTTGTCAGACTCAGTTCAGTGATGCTTATATCTCACATTTATCCTGTTCTATTTTGTTTTGTTAAATTTGACTTATTATTCCAACTTGCGGAGGTCTTCTCATGTGTGGATTTTATTTCCTGCTAAGTATTAGGGTAACTTTTATTCTCAGCTTTATGTCTTCCATTTATTTGATGAATATTCTATCACCAGTACCCTGTGTCAAAAATCATTACTAAAATGTTGAATAAAACCTACCCCCTGAGGATGGAGCCATGAGACATGCCACTACAAATTTCCTTCATTATGATAATTCTTTGTGTGATATTGTTTAGTCAGTTAGGAGTCAGTCTTTGTTAATACTGAGTTTATATTTCTTCTTTTTAATTCCAATGAGATGTCAAGGGAATCTTGATCCGATGTCTTTTTGAGAGCCAAATACAGAATAAGACATTCCTCAGAACAGCTGGTTTCATAGTGCTATTTTTTAAAACTAGTCTTATTTGAATTATTCATATAATGAGTTTATACAGGTTTTAGGAGATCCAGGGTGTCAGAATCACTAGTTTGTATTTTAGGAAATTCTCTACTTCCCTCTTTTTAAAAATTTTCATCAATAACTTTGTTGATTTGGATATTTTGAGTATGTCAGCTATCTCCTGCGTGGTATAATATTGATTGTTCTCAATTAATGTCTCAATTTGATCGTTATCAACTTCAACTAGTCCACCCAGCCATGGAACATCATCTAGTGAGAAATCTCCAGCACAAAATTTCACAAACTACTTGAAAAATTTTTAAAGTATATTTTATTGATTATGCTGTTATAGTTGTCCAAATTTTCCCCCTTTGCCAACCTCTGCCATTATACCCCTCTTCCCTGCAACAACCCATCCGCCCTTAGTTCATGTCCATGGGTCATGCATATAAGTTCTCAGCTTCTCTATTTCCTATACTATCTTAACATGACCTTGTCTATTTTATACCTACCAATTATGCTTCTTATTCCCTGTACCTTTAGCCCCCATTCTCCCCTTCCCCCCAGCTGATAACCCTCCAAATGATCTCCATATCTATGATTCTGTTCCTGTTCTAGTTGTTTGCTCAGTTTGTTTTTGTTTTTTAGATTCAGTTGTTGATAGTTGTGAGTTTGTCAGTTGAATGTTTATAGTTTTGATATTATTCTTTTTTCTAAATAAGTCCCTTTAACATTGCATGTAATAATGGCTTGGTGATGATGAATTCCTTTAGCTTTACCTTGTTAGTAAGCACTTTATCTGCCCTTCCGTTCTAAATGATAGCTTTGCTGGATAGAGCAATCTTGGATGTAGGTCTTTGGTTGTCATCAGTTTGAATACTTCTTGCCTGTCCCTTCTTACCTGCAAAGTTTCTTTTGAGAAATCAGCTGATAGTATTACGGGAACTCATTTATTGGTAGCTCTGCTTTTCTCTTGCTGCTTTTAAGATTCTTTATCATTAACCTTTGGCATTTTCATTATGATGTGTCTTGGTGTGGTCCTCTTTGGGTCCAACTTGTTTGGGACTCTCTGCTTCCTGGACTTGTATGTCTATTTCCTTCACCAAATTAAGAAACTTTTCTTTCATTATTTTTTCCAATAATTTTTCAATTTCTTGCTGTTCCTCTTCTCCTTCTGGCATCCCTATGATTCAGATGTTGACACTTTTGGAGATGTCCCGGAGTCTTCTTATACTCTCCTTGATTTTTTGAGTTCTTGTTTCTTCGATCTGTTTTGGTTGAATGTTTATTTCTTTTTTATGTTCCAAATTGTTTATTTGAATCCCAGCTTCCTTCCCTTCACTGTTGATTCCTTCTGAATTTTTCTTTATTTCACTTACTGTAGCCTTTATTTCTTCCCTAATGTTTTTTGCCATACTTAATGAGTTCTCTGAGCATCCTAATCACTAGTGTTTTGAACTCTGCATCTGATAGGTTGGCTATCTCCATTTCATTTAGTTGTTTTTCTAGGGTTTTGCTCTTCCTTCATTTGGGCCATATTTCTTTGTCTCCCCAGTTTCGCAACTTCCCTGTGTTTGTTTGTCTGTATTAGGTAGAGCTGCTTTGACTCTCTGTCTTAGCATTCCTGTTAAGTTGTATGGGGTGGAGCCTTAGGTATTTGCCAGAGCAGGGCAACCCACTTCACTGCTTTGTGGCTCTGTGTGTGGGGGAGGGGTCAGAGAGGGGACAGTACTGCTGCCTGGCATCTGGAGATTTGCTTGGCATTTGCCCCATTTCCAGTTACTTCACCCACTTCCCGTATGCGACTGGCACCTTTCTAGCTGTTGCCCTGTTGGTGATTCCCAGAGTGGGTGGGTTTGCATATGTTGTGGACCCTTTAAATGGACTATTCTGAGAAACCAGGAGTTTATTCAGCTGTGGCACCCCCCCCCCCCACCACCACACACACACGCACTGGTTTTTATAGCCAGAAGTTAGGAGGCTTTCTCTTCCCAGCACTGGAACTCTGGGCTGTGCAGTCTGGTCTGGGTCTGGGATTGCTTGTTCCCAAGGTATCCCTCCAATTTTTATCCACCACATGTGAATGTGAAACCACCCATCCTGTCACTGCTGCTGCCACCCCTCTGTACCACACCACATCCTCTCTTCCCCAACTCCGCCCCTCCTACCTGTCTGGATGAATATGGCTTCTTTAAGTCCTTGGTTGTTGGACTTCCATACAGTTCTATTTTCTAGCATTTCTGGGTATTTTTTGTTTTGTTTGTTTGATTCTTCTTGTGGTTGCGCAAGGAGGTGAAGTGTGTCTGCCTATACATCCATTTTGACTGGAAGTCTCTTCTTCCCATTTTTAAAAATCATAATATTTAATTGAACTTGATGGTTGTTAACTGTTTCATTAAGTTTAAATTATGTTTTAACTGGAAGAATGTAAGTTCTTTAGAGGAGTAGAGGAGAAAAGCTGAAAGTTAAAAATCTCTACAGACTTTATGAAGGGAGACCTTGTATCCTTATAGATCTTTGAGGGGGTAGGGTAAAAAAAACAAATAAAATGGTTTTAACAAGAATTTAAGGGGAAACCTACAAATAAAGTGAATAACCAAAAACAAACAAACAAAAAAACAACCCATGTACTTTCAGGCCATTAGAAGGAAAAGTGAAAGGAGAAAGATAACTAGGGTGCATAGTTAATTTAACCAAAAGCTGTAATCAGAGGTGAGACCATGAAAGTTGCTTTTTGTTTGTTTTTCTCTCTCTTTTTTTTTAATAACAAAGGATAGACATAGGATGACAAAGCCAGCACTTGTTTACTTAGTTTGGACATCTCTACTTACAGCTAGTTTTTGACTGGTTTGTTTTTTTCCTTTCTTTTGTGATCCCAGCTACTTCTAGATTGGCTCTGCCAGGAAATCATTTTCTTCTCCTGACTCATTCATGTTTCAGGTTGAATTTTTATGACTAATAGGCAGGTAGGCCATGATGTGTTTAAAGTGGGGCTGGATAGATTTCACACTCCATTAATTTATAAGGCTTTTTATAAGACTAATTTATTCTGTTTTTCCAGAGTAAGACAGTAGAACTTGTAGGGGAAAATTTAAAATGAGATATTAGCTCTGAATAACTCTAAAGATCTTAAATATAGAATATGGGATTATAGACCACAGTAATACTGATGTAATCCAGGAAATTTATATATAGCTCAATGTTGGAAAAAAATTACTCTGCTAATGTTTAAAAAAATCTCTGTTGGTCATAGTTTATAAAATTTTCATATTAATGTTTGTTTATAGATGGTATTACAAATTGAAGTGAGTATAATAAGACAGACCGGTTTTAACATGCCAAGCCTAAATGACTGACAGACTGGTAAAAATTAGTTGGCATATAAAGTCAGTAATGGTTTGACATGGGACAGTTGATTGAATTAAAATTAATTAACTTTACCTAGAAACTACAATTGAATCTAAACCGAGTCTTTAGGTGCCATTGGTCCTAAACTGAGTTAGACATATGCCTAGATCAGCACATTTTTTTTTTCTGGTGGAATCTGGGAATCTCTCATATTCATTCATTTATTCAACAAATATTTATTGAGTACCTATTATGTGCCTGTTCACGTGGACATTTATAAGTGTTGGTAAACCAAAGATCCTTAACCTTTTGGTGTTCACATTCTAGCAGATGAGCAGTAGGTAAGTCAATTATATGCTGTGTTACAAAGCAGTAAATACTATGGATAAAGTAAGTAAATAGAGCAGAATAACAAAGAACAGGAGTACTAGGGTGTAGGAAGAAGAGTTGCAATTTTTTTTTTAAGATTTTATTTATTTATTTTTAGAGAGGGAAGGGAGGGAGAAAGAGAGAGAGAGAGAAACACCAATGTGCGGTTGCTGGGGGTCATGGCCTGCAACCCAGGCATGTACCCCGACTGGGAATCAAACCTGTGACACTTTGGTTCACAGCCTGAGCTCAATCTACTGAGCTATGCCAGCCAGGGCAAGAGTTGCAATTTTAAATAATGTGTTCAAAGTAGGCCTTAATGAGAAAGTAAAACGCCAGCAAAGACTTGAAAGAGAAGTGGTAATTAGCCGTGTAACGTATGGAGGTATTCATTCCAAACAAAGAAGTACGGCAGGATATGTCTGGTGTGTTTGAGGACCTCAGGGAAGCAAGGTGGCTGGAGTAGAACATGGTATGAAACCAGGTCAGAGAGGGCATAGGGAGGGGAATAGTCAGATCATGTAGGACCTTGTAAATCATTAAGAGAATTTTGACTTGTGTTTTATGTGAAATGGGAAGAAGTGGGAAGTTTTAATCAGTGGAGTGACATAACTTAAGTTTTAATAGGACAGTTTTGACTGTTGTTTTGAGAGCAGACTATAAGAATACCTGGGTAACAGCAGTGGCAGGCACTCAGAGGTCGAATCCGGCTTGTATATAGTCATTTGTCTAATGGTCTACACAAGGACAGCACTTTGAGTGGTTAACAGTTTTATCCTGGGAGTTTGGCCGCTGGGGTGTAGATCCTGGTTCTGTTATTTACTATTTTATTTAGTAAGTAACTTAACTTCTGTAACTTTGTTTTCTCATTTGTAAAATGAGAGTACTAGTAATACCTCATTCAGTTATGATAATTAAACTGATACATATAGCACTTTGAACTGTGCATGGCACTGTAAACCTACAAGAGTGGTAATTAATATTATTTACCACCCTATTTTTGCCGTTGCCAAGTCATGTTGGTTCTACTGCCACAATGTTTATTTAGCACCAGTCCCTTCCTTTCCATAGCTGTTTTCAACATCCTAGTTTTCAAACCCACAGAAGCTCTTGGCTGGACTCTTATAGCCTTTGCCTAATTGACTTCCTTGCCTCCTCCTTTCTATCCCAGTCTTGCACACTGCTGCTAGATTGTCACATTTCTTCCATGCTCTAAAACCTTAATTCCTTTCCTCTTGCTTTCTAAATTATGTGTACATTCAATCATGAGGCTTTTATTCATGTACTTCCAACTTTTCCTTCTCTAACACAAGTGTACAATACTCATGCCTTTACTCAAACTCTGTGGATCGACATTTGAAACTCTTTTAATTTCACTTCAGGTGTCAGCAACTACACTATGTACTTTACATCTCCCAATAATATTCCCCACTCTAATCTTTTGAGTACTTCTTTAATCCTTATATTTGGATTTTGAACATTAGATATAAGGAATTACATCTATTATAGTTTCATACCTGTATTTTACGGTAGCACAATTACCATATGGTAGGTGTTTTAGTAAATATTTATTGAATTAATTTTCTTTCAATTGTCATTATTTTTCTCTAGGAATGATCAACAGCATCAAGCAGCTGAACTTGAATCTGAGGAAAATGTTATTCCAGATTCACCAATAACAGCCTTTTCGTTTTCTGGCATTAATCGACTACGAAGAAAGGAGAACCTCCATGTCCGATACAAAGAACACACACATCCTAAACCAGAGCAGTCTGGGTGTACAAATGGTAAGGATTAGATTTGTACTTTAGTTATTTGGATTTGTAAAAAAAAATAGTATCTGTCTGTTGTTTTTGTGTTATTCAATCTAGTGGAAGGTAGATAGTCATTGTTCAGATAAACTTATGTTTACCTATAATTTAACTTCCTTTAGCGAAGTGACTAGGAAGGCATTTTCTGCCTGTATTATGTATAGACTTGTGTTGCTCTTCTCAATATGTAAACACCCAGCATTTTATAACATGGTAAATAGTTTCCTGTTTTGTTTTGTTTTTTTTTTTTTTACTTAAAAAAATGTGCATATATCTGAGTGGGATAAAAGGAAAGAGGAAAGGAACTTAACCTTAATTTTTACTTATGTCAAGGGTTATGCTGAGTGATCTAAATACATTATTACTATATTTTAATTCTCATGACAGGCTTGCAAGGTAGCTATTAGCACCTGTATTTCATAGATGATGAAAGATGCTCTTTAGAAGAGTTAACTAACTCACTCAGGGCCCCCTGTCAGGTCAGTAGATGAGTCAGAATTCAAGTATAGATCTTCCTTGCTCTAAACTTTTTTATTTTCCAGGTCTTTCCTACAGCTATTCCATACCGAGAATCCTGTCTTTAGCTAGCTATTTTTACTTGTTACTATTTGTAGCAATTGGTGGTAATCAAGAAATGCTATTATAATGTGTCTACCTTGTGGCTTATCATTTATGTTAAATGTTTTGGAACTACCTTTTCTTTGTAGTTCTGAAATTTAATATGTGACATGATGCAAAGATGATTTCTTTTAATATTGATCTATAGTAAATGGTAAAGACTTTATAACCTAAACTGTTTGTAAGAGGGAAAGCATTTGGGGGGAAGGAGTGTACACAGTTCTAGACCTATATTTATAATGCAAATAAATTAACAGTATCTGTGCCTTTGAAAAAATAAGTAAATCTTATTCTTCGATATTATAAAATTGGTATCATTTTCATCATTTTATATGACCTTGCATCACCATCTAGTGGAAAACAAAAGAACTGTTAAAAATCTTTAGAAGCTGAAGTAAAATGTAAGATCATAGATCTAGAATGAACAGTCATTGGTCTTTTATTTTTAGTCTATCAGACAGAACAGGAGTCACATAAGAAAGTCTCCATAATTTTCGTCATGTTTAAATCCATGTGTAAGATTATTCAGGAAAACAAATCACAGCAATTTTCTTTATTAGAAAAGCCTTCTTTTGTACCATAAAAGCTTCTGGTTTGTCCTGTCTGGGTGCCTGAGCTGGTTGGAGCGTCATCCTATAAACCAGAAGGTTGAGATAGTCAATCCTCAGTCTGCGCACATACCTAAGTTGCAGGTTTGATCCTTTGTTGGGGTATATACGGGAGGCAACTGATTGATGTTTCTCTCTCACATAGTGTTTCTGTCTCTGTCATTCTCTTTCCCTTCCTCTCTCTCTAAAATCAATGAACATATCCTAGGGTGAGGATTTAGAATTTTAAAAAAAAGCTTCTGTTATATTTCTTGTATAAGAATAACATATAACTATTTAAAAATTTGATTTGTCTGTTTTAATCTTATCCTAATCATTTTTATGTGGAATCTGAAATTTTGGTTTAAAAGACAAGATAACTTTTGAGCCATGCACATTATTTTAAAACTGACTTAATGACTTTTAGTCCTTTTTTCTCTTTCTAACCACCTTTGCTTGTTTATTTTAAAGTTTATACTGCTTTTTAATATTATTTTCAGGTTATAGTTAGTATAAGTCTATTTCCTTTTACTTACTCTTTTGTTAGTTTGTTTTCTTTGAATTATTTCTGGCAAAGCATGTTGCAAGATTTCCTTCCAAAACATAAAAACTCTAAAATAAAGATTGTGAGGATATGTGATACATTATTTATTTTAAATTAATGTGCTGATTTGCAAAAAGTACGTAAGGAAAACATACATTACAATATTACAGCTCTAGGAGACTTGTCAGAAGAAGCTTGTAGGTTCTAGTTTTCTCTTCCACTGTCCTAACTGCTACTGATCTAACTTCCAGTTTTGTTTTTAGTGAAAATATAGGAATGAACTCTTTAAGGAGAGGTTTGTTTTTGGCTTATCAAAATAATATTTTGGTAATATTTTTCATCATGATTGTGTATAGGTAATCTCTCCTTTTCTCCCCTTAGAATTGAGAAAAGTTCCAAAATCTTCAACTCATCCACAGCATAAGCCTAATAAAAATGAGATTCTAGTGGCTGACACTTGTGATCAGAGTCAATCTCCAGTAGTGAGTAAGCAAGATGTTGACATTATTTTATTAGTTTAAACTTTGTGGTCATTGGTGGGCAAGAGTGATCCACAGTCTTAGTTAGACAATATTTTAAAATATTCTGTATTAAATTTTGTTTGTTGTTTAGCAGTCTTTTTCATATTGGGAAATAATGTTATTCTATTAAATCATATTAATAGCGCTATCCATTATTAGTAAAAATTGCTAATAATTTTTAGTAAACAAAACTCTACTCTGGTTTACTCAATGATTCAACAAATATTTTAGTGTTTATTATATACCAGGCACTGAACAAATCAAAGCCCTTAACTTTGTTGAGCTTACAATGTAGCTGGGGAGAGAAAGAAAATACACAGATATATGTTAGGCTTTCTAATAATTTTTCTTACCCTGCTCCCCTCAGAAAAAATAAAGCAGGGTAAGAAGAGGTATTGGAAAGCCTCACTTTAAAAGTAGTTTGTGAACAAAGACTGGGGGAAGCAAATGAGTCATGGGGATATCTGGGAGAGGCACATTCCAAGTAGAGAAGAACTCTGTGAGCACAAAGAACATGAAGTGAAGTTGCTGTTTGGTTGGTTTGAGGAAGCTTAAGGAGGCCTGTGTGGCTGGAATAGAATGCGTGAAGGGGAGGTTGGTTGGTTTGGGCATCTCTATTCTTCAGAGTTGCTATTTACTGAGAGGGAAGAGGCTGCGAGCAGGTTTGTAGGGTAGGACGGGGTGGTTAGAAATGAGGAGTTTGGTTTTGAGAGTACTCTGTTTGAGATTCTGGATGGACATTCATATAAAGGTTTTGGGTGGGAGGGTGGATATGAGTTTAGAGTAGGAGAGAGGGATGGAAGTGTTAGCATGTAGGTGGTATCTAAGCCAAGTAAATGTAAATGGAGAAGTTCAAGTACTTAGTCCTAGGGCATTACATTGTGTAATTCTTAAATTTTACACAGTGATTCTTAAGTTTTCCTCATTATCCCTCCCCCCCTAGACTTTCTAGATTTTTCTCTAATCACTTCCCCTATCAAAATTTTAATAGTAATTTTAATACTGTATGAATAAATATATGTCTGTGCCTTAAACATAAAAAGAGATTTTTTTCTATCTCCCAAGAACATTTTTCACTCCCTTGGAGAAGTAGTGATTTAGAGGTTATTGAAATGAGGAGGATCCAACAGCATAGCCAGTGAAGGAGCTACCAGTGAAATGGGGGAGCGTGGTGTCCCGTAAGGCAGCTGGAGACCGGAAAGAGAGGTTGGTCAACTGTGGCAAACAATGCTAATAGGCCAAGGAAGATGAAGACTGAGAATTGACCATTGGATTTGGTCACCTGGAGACCACTGACTGAAACTCATAACATGAGCTGTTACAGTATAAGGGTGATCAACTAGACTGTTTCATGTTCAAGAGAAACTAGGATCAAAGAAAGTGTAGAGAGCACTTCTAAAGCAAGTCCTTCAAAAGATGGGATATTATAGCATATTCAGTATATGTTTATATTTATGGATGATCAAGTAAAGAGAGAGGAATTAATAATTCTGGAGAAAGGGGGAACGATTGCCAGAGCCTTTAAAAGCTGAGAGGAGATGGGATCCAGAGCCCAATTGGAAGAGTTGGCCAAGGTTAATCACTTACTCATTTTATGTTAGTATAAAACTTGCTCTCTGAAAGCTATAAATCATTGTATATTAGCATGTGTATATGTTTGTGTGCGTGTGTATAGACAGACTGTCTGGCAAGGTGTGGTAAGGGTATAGCAGTGAGAGGACAGATCCTTGCTTCTCAGCACTCTGGAGCCCATTCTCTACTGCTGTTGCCAGGGACTTTACTCCATCAGTTGTCCTCTTTTCCTGTATCTCCTCAGTTTCTCTGTGGGTTCTTTCTTTTCAACACATGCATAGATGTTATCTTTCCTCTTTTAAAAATAACCCCTCTCTTAATTGTCTCCATCCTTAGCAACAGCTTCTCTTCAGAGCTGAAAAAGTGATCTTTCAATATCTCTTTCTCAACTCTCATTCACTTCATTTTGGTTGAATCCACTGTCCACTCCCTGCTCCCACCCCTAGAGAGAGGTGGGTGGTGAGGAAAAGGGCACAGGGGAAGGGAGGAAGGAGGGGGAAAAGAGGGAGAGGCAGCAGAGAAAGAGAATATGCTTTCACATTTTTTTCTCTCATTATGTTGGAACTGCTCTGGCAAAAGTCATCAGTGACTTCCTGGTTATTAAATCTAATGAACACTTCCCAGTCCTTATCTTACTTGACCTTTCTGTGACATTTGACATTATTGAGCACTCTGTTTCTTGAAGTGATGCCACTCTCCTGGTTCTCATTCTTTTTTCACCTTCTTTTACTGGCTGTTCTTTTTCTGTCATTTAAATGTTAACTGTCCTCAATATTTATGTTTCTTGGTCTATTCTTATCTCACTTTCTATCTCCTGAAGGAATCTTGCCGAGAGTTACTATTCTGCTACCACCTATATGATTAATAAATCCAAAATCTGTATCACTAAGACTTTTCTCCTGGATTCCAAACCAGTGTACCTGACTGCTGTTGAACATCTCTGCTTGGATATCCTTCAACTTCCATATGTCCAAAATTGAAAATTTTCTGTCAAATCTTCATCCTTTTATTTACAATCTCAGTGAATGACTCTGTACATACCTCTCTGAGTTACCCAAATCAAAAAACTTTGTGTTTTCCTAGACTCCTGCTTCTTTGCCTTTCATATTTGAATACTCTCCAAGTCTTACTGATTCCACCTCCTATATGTCTGTCATAAACATTTCCCTCTACCCCCATCATACTAGTTTGGGCTATCAGCATTCCTAAGATTGTTTTAGTCCTCTTGCCTATTATGATTGCTTCTTGCTCTATCATCCTGTCATGGCTAGAATTACTTTTTAAACCCAAATATTGCATGTCCTCTATTAAAAACCCTTGGGTATCTCTTCATAGCCTACAGGATAAATTTTAAACTCTTTAGCATAATCTGATTCCTCACTGACCTGTCTGGGCTTATGTCCCACTACTCCTATATCTTTTACACTTTGATTTCCAGCAATTGAACCATGTAGTTCCCTGAACATGTAATTTTGTTTCATATATATAGACCCTTTCACATACCTAGAACCTTTCTCTCTGCCCCCAATCCAGTTGACCTGTTAAATTCCTCTTAGGCATCATTTGATGTAGCTTTTCTTGATTTTTCCAAGGAGATTTAGGAGTCCTTCTATATTTAAATCACCCCCTTTTCATGTACCTTTATTTTAATGTTTATCATTTTATTGTAGTTCTCTTGTACTTCTCTATTTCAAATATAGCCCATAAGTTCCTTAAGGACAGAAATTTTTTCTTTTCATCTAGTGCCTAGTACAATGCCTGGAACATAGCATGTGCTCCATAAATACTTGTTGAGTTATTGGAACTGTATATTTAGCAAATATTTGAATATAGATGATTTCTGTATAAATGTGTTAGCTTAAAACTTGAAATTTATGCAGTGCTGAAAATCTTTCTCATAAAGTATGTTTTTATGAAAGGTACTATAAATATGGTTTGATGTATCCTAGGTCACAGTAAATCCATTATAAATATAATTTTATGGTATTTTTGGTGGCAATATGAAAAATCTATCTGTTGCATTCAATTTATTTAACATAAATAGAAAGCTTAGCTGAAAATGTTTTGCAAGTGTAGACTCTATAACTGCAACTTACTGTCATTTATAGCAGATATTTTGGGTGCAGATTTTAAAAATTACTCAGTGCTAGCTTGTAAAATGGTTCTGAGAGCCTTTTATTCCTTTTTGTATTATTTTGTACATCTAGTTTCTACAATTGTATAATTGGGGTTTTTTCTTACTTAGATACATGTGGAACAAGCAGTTACCCCTCTGATAAGTTGCCTTTTAATTTAGCTGCAATTGTTGCTGAGACACTTGGACTTAGTGTTCCAGAAGAATCTGTAAGTAGTTGTTTAGTTTGGTAATAATATGAATTAATTGGTGTCCTTTTGGGGCAGTTCTTACAGAATTGAGCAAAAGTAAAACTATTTTTTCCAAAGATCATTGAATAAAGGCCTAGAACAAAATTGATGTGGCTAGAAAGGCTCATTAAGTTATCCACCCAGACAGTCCCAGAAATCTAGAGTCTTTAGAATTCTTGTGATACAGATTGTGGGTTGAATCAAAATTTAGGGAACTCACAATGGCTTAGAGGGTTTGGCCAACCCTCTTCCCTGCTCCTTCTCCCCTATTCTTACCCCGTTTCATCTAAGAGAAGACCTAAACCTTTAGGTTTATTTCAGAATTTATTGGATCTTCTCTGCATCCATTAAACTAGGGTTTGATTTGAAAAACAGGATGAATTCTTGGGACTATCATATATACTTTAGTTCTCTGTCCTTATAAGTGCCAATCCAGAAGGACCTGATTCTTAGGGACTGGGTCAGTAACTGACCCCATGATTTTTTTTTTCATTATTTTGGTGCTTCTTTACATCAGACACATTTACTTTTTTTCTTAATTGGTGCCTAAAAATTGAAAACTTGAATTCTTCAATCTTAAGGAAGTTTTACTTTGATACACTTTAAGATAGTATTCCTATGCTTTTGTTGGTAAATGTATATGTGCTCTTATAAAATGGTCTTGATACTTACTGAATTTCTAAAATTTGAATTGATTTTTTTATTACATTTGGGTAATTTATTGTTCTTTCTAGTTTTAAATCCATATTCAAGTGATAGTGGTGGTTTTTAACATTTGAACTTTAAATGTGTTTTAATGTTTTTTAATTTTCTCCTACCCATAATCCTGGCAAGTCAGTAGTTTTAAATGCCAAATAGATTAAGGGAGCTGATCTCTAAGGATTTGGTGCTCAGACGTGATCCACAGGCCACCACCATATGCATCATCTTGAAGTTTGTTAGAGATACAGAATCTCAGGTGCCACCCCAGACCTACTGAAAGAACACTTTGTATTTTAACAAGATCCCAGTTGACTTGTATATTTATTAAACTAGATCATTGAGTAAAGGCCTAGAACACTAAGCCTTGAAGGCCTTGAGGACCACTGCTCTCTAAAGGAGCCTTTTAAATTCATCCCCTGTCAGAATAAATAATCATATCTATTCCTTTCCTTTCATCTTAATAATTGTTGGGAGGGAACGGAATAATATATATATTATATATATATTATATATATTATATAATGTAATAATTATATAATATAATATATATTATAAATATATATTATAAATAATATATATTATATATATTATAATATATATTATATTATATAATATATATTATATTATATAATTATTACATATTATAATATATATTATATATAATATATATTATATATATAATATATATATATTAGTAGTAGAATGTACTTACAAACAAGTAAAATATTAACACTTTTCTCTCTTAAAACTTAAAATGTGCTTCTATATTTGATTGTAGTAAAAAATGCACATTGTCCTGACCAGGTAGCTCAGTTGGTTGGAGTGTTGTCCTGATATGCCAAGGTTGCAGGTTCGGTCCCCAGTCAGGGTACTTACAAGAATCAACTAATGAATGCGTAAAGAAGTGGAAAAACAAAATAATGTTTCTGTCTTTCCTTCCCGCTCTCTCTTTCTGTAAAACCAATACAAAAAATTTTAATGCACATAATATAAAATTAACCATTTTAAAGTATACAATTCAGTGGCATTTAGTATATTCACAATATTATGCAACTGTCACTTCTATCTAGTTCCAAAGTATTTTCATCATCCCAAAGGAAATCCTGTTAAACATTCAGTCCTTGTTTCAGTACTTGCAGCCTCTGGCATCCTACCAGTCAGCTTTCTGTCCTTGTGGATTTACCTGTTCTGGATAATTCATGTAAATTGAATTGTACATTATGTGGCTTTTGAGTCTGGCTTCTTTTGTTTATCCTGTTTTTAAGGTTCATCCACACTGTAGCATGTATCAGTATTTCATCCTTTTAAAGGAAAAATAGTCTTTCATCATATTTTACTTTATATTTTACTACTGAAGGAATCTCAAGGTTCCGAGAGCCCTCTTGGTGATGAGCTCTACCACTGTCTAGAAGGAGATCACAAGAAACACACTTTAGAGGAGTCTACAAGAAAAACTGAAGATAGTTTAAGGTAATTGGGGGCACTTTGGTGAAAAATTTATGAACTGTTGGTGAAATCCCGTTACACTGAGTTCCATGAAATTAAACTATTTCTCTCCCTTAACATATAGTTTGTTATTCTGGTTGTATTAATTTTTATTTTAAAAAATAATTTCTTCAGTTTATGACCAGTTGTGGGCTTTTTGCATTACTGCAGAGAAATGGATGTTACTTTTAGATTCTTTCTGTACTTCAAGCAGTGCTTAAGAGTTCCCAGTCTTGCTACTCTGCCCTTCTAATAACTCAGTTATCCCTTCTGGGTTTACATTTCCAAAACCTGGATGTTGTATAAAGCTTGGATGAGATTGTGTAAAGATTGTGTTGCATTTCATTCATTTTGACTAATTTCAGAACATCCATGAATTAATAATATTATTTATGTAGCATTTTGCTTTTTTTTTAATGATTTTATTTTTATTTATTTTTAGAGAGGGAAGGGAGGGAGATAGAGAGAGAGAGAGAGAGAAACATCAATGTGCGGTTGCTGGGGGCTGTGGCCTGCAACCCAGGCATGTACCCTGGCTGGGAATCGAACCTGCGACACTTTGGTTCGCAGCTCGAGCTCAATCCACTGAGCTACGCCAGCCAGGTTTTTTTTAAAAGAGCTGGCTTTAGGCACATATAAAACTGAGCTGTCACATATATCACGTTTAACTTGTCATTATAATAATTCATTAAAGTAGGTTTTATTGCCCCGTATTTTGCAGCCAACAAAAATGTAGCGTAAGAGAGGTTAAATGCCTTTTTTAAGGCCATATAGCTGTTCAGTACTAGAGGCAGAGCTCTTACCCATCTCCCCATCTTCAAACAAACCTAGTACTTTTTTTTTAAGATTTTATTTATTTATTTTTAGAGAGGGAAGGGAGGGAGATGGGGAGAGAGAGAGAGAAACATCATTGTGCAGTTGCTGGGGTCATGGCCTGCAACCCAGGCACGTACCCTGACTGGGAGTCGAACCTGCGACACTTTGGTTCGCAGCCTGCATTCAATCCACTGAGCTATGCCAGCCAGGGCAAACCTAGTACTTTTTCTACTACTGAGGTTATCTCCTCTGCTAGAGGCAGGCTGTTTCTTTATATATGTTCAGTTCTATAGTATAAGAACTTTGTTTCTTGGAGTTACTCATGACAGGATTTCATAACAACAAAAGAAGTTGGGTCCCCATTTGAATTTATTAAAATATTATTTTCTTATATAGTGAAGATACTTAAATTATTTAGGAAAAATATTTATAGCTATTGAGATAGAATGACTGTATTGTTTTTCTCTGCTTTTTGTTAGCTAAAAGAAGAGAAGCCAGCAACTATACGCTATTGTAAACACTTGGTGAATCATCTATCTATAATACATAGATAAGACCTTACTATTAATAATTCTATATTAGCATATGGTTTCTCATCATGCTTATCTTTTAATTTTTACCTTATTTAATCAGAAAAAAGTTTTACCACTCTTTATTCTCTTAGATTTTCAGATTCCAATTCAAAGACTCCTTCTCAAGAAGAACTAACTACTCGGATATCATCTCCTGTATTTGGAGCTACCTCTAATGTGAAAAGTAGTTATGGCTTGAATACAAGTTTGTCCCCTTCTCTTTTAGAGACTGGGAAAAAAAATCATCTGAAAACAACACATTTAAGCAGCACCTCTAATTCTAGATCAGAGAAAACTAGATCAAAATCTGAAGATAGTTCCCTTTTCGCACATCATAATCTTGGGTCTGACATGAACAAGATCATTAACCAGTCTTCTAATAAACAAATGCTTATAAATAAAAATATAAGTGAACCCATAAGTGCACAGGACAGTATTGATCACATCAAAAATACTATTTTTGATAAAGATAAACATGGGGTACCACTGAAACCATTGGGATGCAAAACATCCAAAAGGAAGAAGACTGAGGAGGAAAGTGAAGATGAAGTAAGCTGCCCCCAAGCCTCTTTTGATAAAGAAAATGCTTTTCCTTTTCCACTGGATAGTCATTTTTCTGTGAATGGAGACTATGTGATGGATAAACCTCTGGATCTGTCTGATCGCTTTTCAGCTGTTCAGTGTCAAGAGAAAAGCCAAGGAAGTGAGACCTCTAAAATCAGGTTTAGGCAAGTGACTCTCTGTGAGGCTTTGAAGCCCATTCCAAAGAGCTCTTCCTCAAGCAGAAAGGCCTTGAGCGGGAGCTGTGTGCAAACCAAAGATTCCTCAGAGGAGCTCTGTTTACAGGAGTGCATCCTCCAGCCCCTGAGTAAATCTTCCCCAGATAACAAAATACCATTACAAATAAAGGAGGAAAGGCCTACCTTTAAAATCCCTCTACATCCACGTGAAACTTTGGAGACAGAGAATCTTTTTGATGACATGAAGGTTTGTGTTAAATGTTCAAGGGTTTTGGTTTAAATGATTATGAGTTCATCTAGATGCTAATGATTCTGTCTGTTTTAGGGTGCTGGTTCTCATGAGCCAATAAGAATAAAAACCAGGTCAGTTCCTGGAGCCTGTGAACTTGCATCAGTTCTTCAGTTAAATCCATGTAGAATCGCTAGAACAAAGCCTCTACAAAACAACCAAGGTATGTGCACTATACATAGTACTTCCCCTCTATATTTATTATCTTGTATTTAAGATAGTAAATATCTTAATTAAATATATTATTTACATTCTTTGGAGAGATTGAATTATTTGGGGAGAAAATGTTTTCTTCCTGCATGTTTCTCTGTTTACAAAATAGTTATCATTGGATTTATTTTAAATGTGATTATCCTTGTGCTTTTAGAAAAAATGAAATGAGATCTTTAATACCTACTTTTATATGTGATTTTGTGGATTTACCTATTTTATGTAGTTATTTTCTTTACAAAACTTTACAAAACTTAACACAGAATTTTAAAATATATGAAGTAGAATTTTCATCATCCAAAACTTGTTCCTCAACCCATAGATAGCCTGTTCTTTTTCTTTGCATTTACATGTGTGTCTGTCAACATGTACATATACATACACGTAGACATTTATGTGGGTTGTTCAGCTTCTAGTGTGAATGAAAACATCGTTTGCTCTAGTAATGTAGATATGTATTAATCTTTTGTAAGTCTGCTGTGATTAAAAGGAGTTTTTTAGGGCTTTTTAGCCATCAAATATTCCTGTACTTCATATGCAGTGTTTTTTTTTTCTTTTATTCTTTATTGGAAAGTCATTTCTTCATTCTGGGTTTATTTTCTTGTTTTCCTGAAGCACATTCTTTAGTTGTTCTTCCAACAAGAGTTCCATCTCTGCATAAACATTTTTTTTCATTCTCAGTCCTTTTTTAAAATTTGTTTATAATTGTTATAATGAACACAGTATATACCTACTTAATCTTTCATAATCTGCTTAGAGTTAATATTGTACCACTTTATGTTCTCTGACTACACAGAACATATGTAGTTGTCATGTATCTCTACAAATAATTGAAAACCCCTTCAAACAGTGTTAAAAATTTAACTTTAAAAAAAATTATATTGACATAAAAATCACATATTAAAATTCACAAAATTTATAAAATTACTGGTTTTCTTATACTCCCAGAGTTGTGCAACCATTACTATAGTCTCAGTTTAGAACATTTTCATCATCCCAAAAAGAACAGAAAGAATAGTACCTATTAGCAATCATTCTTCATTCCCAATCCTCTTCCCCAGTCCTAAGCAATCACTGTTTACCCAGACCCTCCCCTGGCGGTACTCCCCCTCCCCTCAGGTTGAGAGAAGATGCTTGTATATCGAAGCTAAAATGTTTTACAGGCAATAAAACCTGAGTCTGTCTATATTCCTAAAAGATAAAAGTAAATATAACTGTCTGTCTCTTTAGGTTTGCCTTTTCTGAGGTTTTTATAGAAATGAAATCATATAATTTTTGTGACTTCTTTTACTATTATAATAATGCCGCTATGAATATTTTTTTTAAGATTTTATTTTATTTTTAGAGAGGGAAGGGAGGGAGAGAGAGAGAAAGAGAGAGAGAGAGAGAGAGAGAGAGAGAGAGAGAGAGAAACATCAATGTGTGGTTGCTGGGGGTCATGGCCTGCAACCCAGGCATGTACCCTGACTGGGAATCGAACCTGCGACACTTCGGTTCGCAGCCCGCACTCAATCCACTGAGCTACGCCAGCCAGGGCCCGCTGTGAATATTGATGTATAGTTTTGTGTAGATGTGTTTTCCTTTTATTTATTTATTTATCTATCTATTTATTTTTGAGCTATACATAGTGGTAGAATTGCTGGACCACAGGCTAACCCTGTTTAACCTTTTGAGGAACTTTGTAACTGTTTTCCAAAGCAGCTACATCATTTTATATTCCCACCAGCAGAATATGAGGGTTTTGTTTTCTCTGCATCCTCACTAACACTTGTTATTATCTGTCTTTTTGATTCAGGCCATCTTATTGGGTGTGAAATGGTGTCTCCTTGTAGTTTTGATTTGCCTTTTCCTGATGGCTAACATTGTTGAACATCTTTTCATGTGCTTATTGGCCATTTCTATAGCTTTTTTCAAGGACTGTCTGTTAAGATTTTTTGCTCACTTTTAACTGACATATTTGTTTTATGTTGAGTTGTGAAAGTTCTTTATATATCTTAGATGTAAGTACCTTACCAGACATGATTTGCAAAACTTTTCTTCTATTCTGAGTGTCTCATAATGTTTAAAATCTGTTCTTAATTGTTATATATTTTTTCCTCCTTATCTAAGATGTACCCTTTGAAAATATCCAGTGGACTATAGATCCAGGAGCAGACCTTTCTCAGTGTAAAATGGATATTACTGTAATAGATACAAAGGTAAGTTAGAAAGTAAAACCAAAGCCCACATGATTATTCTAGTGAGCTCTTAGTCACTCTCCTCTCTCTCTCTCTCTGTGACCTGGAGAGAATCACATACCTCTTAAAACCTGCATTTATTTATTTAGAAACAAAAATCCCATATTTTGCCATGTATAATGCACACCTTTTTGCCCAAATTTTTAAGGGAAGAATAAGGATGCACATTATACATGGGTAGTACTAATTCTGTACCTATGTAAATGTTTTAAATTCTTTTATTTATGCTTATGCATAAAAATGTAACTCTAGAAAGCAGTAACGATATCCATATGCAAAGTAGTATCCTGAAATACGATAATCGGTTTTATATATAATAAAAAATTGAATAAAAAAATTAAAACGAAAGATTTTTTTCCTGAAAGTTTGGGCCAAAAACATGGGTGCACATTATACATGGCAAAATACAGTATTTATTCTTCCAACTTTATGGTATCTGAGAGAGCAATAATACTTTCTGACTTTAGAGGCCTTTGCTGAAAAATATAATTATACCTTTAAAATAATACAAAATGCTAGTTATTTATTTTAAATAATTATTTATCAAAACAATTCATCATGTGCTTTAAGTTTTAAAATAATGTACTATCAAGAAAAAATTTTTATTTTCCCAATTGACTACAGTTTAAAATTCAAAGTAAAAATAACTTGCTTGGCTTATATTTAGGATTTATATGGTTTGAGAAGTTCTCTTTTATTTGGTAGTATGTTAATAAAGTATTTATCAGTTAAAGTAGTATATATCTATTAAGAAATCAGGTTTGATTTATGAAATTGCTGTTCTTTGTACACACTGATGTCCACCACTGTGAGTCAGAGTGGAGAAGAAGAAGGAGAAGCTGAGGGAGTGCCCCTCCCCTGGCAGCAGTCCCCCAGGGTGCAGAGGGGCCAGGTGCTGCTGTCGGGTGGAGAGAAGATGCTTGTGTATCAAAATTAAACTATTTTACAGGCAATAAAACCTGAGTCTGTCTATATTCCTAAAAGATAAAAGTAAATAAAATTTAATGCTACTAAAGTGTACATTTAAAAATGGTTAAAATGGTAAGATTTGTTTTATGTATTTTACTAGAAATGCTTTTTAAAGTAAATATAAAGCCATAAAGGGGTAATTGTTAAAATTTTGAATTTTTAAATATCCAGGATGGCAGTCAGTCAAGATTAGCAGGAGGAGAGACAGTGGACATGGACTCTACATTGGTTAGTGAAACTGTGCTTTTAAAAATGAAGAAGCAAGAGCAGAAGGGAGAAAAAAGTCCAAGTAAGATTTGATTTTTAAAATTATTTTAATAAAAATATGGGGGGAAGTTTATAGTCCTACCATTGCATTGGTAAGCACAGGTGATTTCTTCACCATAAATCCAAGAGTTTTCTTTCCCTGTTCTGATAATATCAGATTTCTGTTAGTAAAGCTTAGTTCCAATATTTCAGAGGAAAAAAAATTTTTAGCCATAATCAATTTACTTTAGAAAGAATTCAGATTGTTTCCAGGGGTAGCAAACCACAACTGGCTGCCAGTTTTATAAATGAAGTTTTATGGGAATTCAGCCTCACTCACTTGTTTATATATTGTCTATGGCTGCTTGTTGACACAGCAGAGTCGAGTAGTTGCTGCAGAGACTTGCCTGGCCCCAAGGCCTAAAAATATTTGCTCTGTGACCCTTGAAGAAAAAGTTTGCTAGTTTGGCATGAAGCCAGGGCATGAGAATGGTGATCTGCAGCTGGAGTGGGAGACCTGGGTCCAGGCTGCGGGGTGTGGGGAGGAGTGCTGTGCTACTCTGGAGGTGGGAGGTGACTACAGAAGGAAGGGAAAGCCACTGCCTTGTGAAGCACCAGCAGAAGGCACAAATCTTCAATATAGCCTGTGAGGCCTCAGATGGTGAGAGGAGAGGGGACCATGCCACTCAAGTTGCCAAGCTAGGAACCTTAGGACTGGCAGCGGCAGCTGGCAAACCTCACACCGTGAGGAATGGGACGGACATGCCTTTGGACCATCTGGGGGCTGAGCACTACTATAACCCCAGTGCTCCCCAAAGGTGCATAGGTACCAGATGCTGTCGCTGGTGCTGTACAGCAGGACCAGCAAGGTGACAGCAGCGCATGCAGCAGGTGCAGGCCCAGGGCCTGATGGTGGATGGCATTCTGCACACAGATGACAGCATGCTGGGCACACTCGTCTACCCTGTGGGCTTCTGGAGGAACAGGATGAAGTACATCAAACAGACCACTGCCATCCTGCAGCAGCACTGTGGTGGGGACGTCACAGCCTCTGTGGCAGAGTTGGTGGCACTGTTAGGCATTAGGCCCAAAATGGCACACTTGGCCATGGCTATGTCCTGGGGCACTGTGTTGGGCATCACAATGGACACATTTGTGCACAGGTTGGACATCTGACTTAGGTGGACAAAGAAGGGGAGCAAGTCCTTAGAGGAGACCCATACAGACCTGTCTGCTTCTCCACTCATGCTGCTAAGCCTGAAAGCAATTGCATAAAGCAAAAATGGGGGAGGGGGATATCCTGAGAAGAATTAGTTTAGATTTGCAAATTAACAGTAAACTAAGAACAATAGTTAGTCTGCCATTCTCTGCTTTTACAGAAAAAGGAATAAACTAGGGTCTTATGCCCTTTGTGTTGAAAACCTGTTAAATCTTCATCCAAAGCCTTGATTTTCCAAAAGAGGTGAACTTGGGTGGAATATGGTTGACACCACCTCAGCAACATTCTGAACTAAAGGGACTTGTGACACAAGAACAGCTAGACTGGAGCTAGTTTCATTTATCATCCTTATGAATTGAAGGTGTAGGACCTGGTACTTGGCGACGCAGTGCAAACAGCAGAGGCATTTTCCAACCATTAGCTGTTGGGAACTGAGGATATTCAGACGTGTTTGCATGTCTGATTCTGCAGTCTGCCTGCCCAGGGCTAAATAATGAAATAGCTGTTCTTGGCCTGTCTTCTTCTGAAACACCTTATCTCTTGCTTCTCTAAATGCAGTACATGAGAGAAAATTTTAATAATTTAACTCTTTGTTCTTTAGAAATAACTATTCATATGTTCAAGTAGCTGGCTGCCTGAGTTGTGGGAGGACAGTACCTATTAAAAGAAAAACCTTAGCAGTGATGTATTGTCTTTTTATAGTGAATGACACAAGTAATTTTCTTAAGAAGGTACTTTACATTTAAAATTATTTTGTTCATGATATCATTTCCTGGCAATGTTTTTCTCATTTTTGTAGGAAGGGGAAAAACTAACTTATGACTACTTTTGGCTTCCAATTTATCTAGTTGATTCAAAGAACATAATAGTCCCCCAATATATTTCAACAAAGTATCATGTAGAAGTGAGACTGGAACTTCAACTAAAGAGTTTGAGCAAATAATTTTGGCTAAATAAGGTGGTGTGTGACTGTCGATACATAATAATTCAGTAACTTAAAGGATTAAAACATTTTCTTTCATAGTTTCTGTGGCTCAGAAATTCAGGAAGGGCTTGGCTGGATGGTTTTGTCTCAGGGCCTCTCACACAGCTGTAGGCAGGTGGTGGCTGGAGCTGGAACAGCAGAGGGCTAGACAGATGGGGGTGACTTGGCATCTTTCCTCATTCAGTCTCAAGGCTTCTCCATATGATCTTTCCGTGAAGGCTAGTTTAAGCCCTCTCATCACATGGAAAAGGAGATTAAGTTCCCAGAGTGAGAATCCCCAAAGAGCAAGATAGAGATGAATGACAGTTTTATGATCTGGCTTCAGCACTTACATGGTGTCAGAAAGACCTGCTAGGTTCAAAGCAAGACAAACCTGGCCCTCACTATTCAGTGGGAGGAGTGTCAAGATCACATTGTAAGAACAGTGCATGGGATAGGAGATATCGCTGAGACTGTATTTGGAAAAAAACAGTCTGCCCGTTTTACCTATAAGGTAAACCTTGTTAATACTTAGAAACCATTAAAAATGAAACACCAATAAAAACTCCCAATTGCTGCTAACATTTCAACTCACAGAATGTTTTTTGTATCCCTGCTCTGTGTTAAGACTTACAGATGTTGTGATAGAAAGATCAGTAGGATATAGTCTCTGTACTCAAGTATTTTATAGCACAAGTCAGACCCCCAAAAAACATTAGCGACTTAACTGTTACAGAATGCTATGGAAATGCCTAGCACACTGCCTGGCACTTAGAAGTTCTCTCTTTTATCTAGACATTTGACTCTCAAAATGAGAAATAACAAATGTTTAACTATTTAGTAAATATCGAGATGTAATTCTATATTAGGAAGTGTTCCAGGAACTGGAAACAATGAGTAAACAAAACAAAAATACTCACCTCATGGAATTTACATTCTAATAGGGAAGAAACAAGCAAATATCTGGTATCATAGATGATGGTTAGTGCTGGAGAAGTTAAAATACAGTATGGATGCTAGAGCTCCATGGGTTGGAGGAGATGGTAGTTTTTTATAGTGTAACTTCAGTAGGCTTCTGTTTTGCCATATTTATTAGCTAACTGAATATATTTCTGTTTTTAGTAAATTCTGGTGTTTTTTTTTTAAATGTGATTATATAATGGGAAATGTAGTTAATACTAAGAAGATGAATTTACCATTTGGCATGTCCAATATGGAATTGAATTCATTAACAGTACTACCAAGTGTTAATGCAAAAAAATACTTTTTTTTTTTGCTGCCATATTAGAAAAATAAGCAGGTAAGCAAAAGTCTATAGAGGTTTTGATGTCAGCTTTTTTTTAGTACACACTATGTTTTAAACAGTACTTTTTATTCATTATGATATATATTCTATTCTTCCTAGTTTCTTTGATAGTACTCTTTTTGGTTTAGTATAAATTATACATGACCTGATAGGGAAAAAAAGATTTTTAATGTTTGTAATAAAGAATAACAAAAACTAGCATTCTCTTTGCCATAAGTAAAGGACACATAAAGCCACAACATAAAGGTGTTGTGACTGTACAGTAACTACCTACACTTGGGGGTTTGTTCTTGCCTCATGTACATGGGAATTATTTTGTGGCAGTTACTAAAAGTTTCACCTTAGTCTATATAGAAAGCAAAATGCTTGCATGTTTTCCTGAGTCAATGGTCTTTTACGTAGATGGAGAAAGAAAAATGAATGATAGTTTGGAAGATATGTTTGATCGGACAACACATGAAGAATACGAGTCCTGTTTGGCAGATAGCTATCCCCAAGTAGCAGAGGAAGAGGAGGAATTTTCAGCTGCCACAAAGAAACCAAACAGTAAGGCTATTTTCTTACTAATTATGGCTTCTTAGTTACACTGAGTTCAGTAAATTAAGTCATGAGGCTAATTAACAGAGGCTGAATGAGGTATATTTACTATTAAAGTTTCATGTTGCTTGTATAAATTTCTTTTTCACTGGTTTCTTTTTTTTCCAGATTAATAGAAAAATTACAAAAATAGTTTAGAGGGTTCCCTTGTAACTTTCACTCAGTTTCCCCTTATATTAACACCTTATATAACTATGAAATACTCCTCAGGACTTAGAAATTAGCCCTTGCTAGTGTGGCTCAGTAGATTGAGTGCTGGCCTGTGAACCAAACGGTCACTGGTTCAATTCCCAGTCAGGGCACATGCCTGGGTTGAAGGCCAGATCCCCAGTACGGGGGTCATGTGACCACAAATTGATGTTTCTCTCCCTCTCTTCCTCCCTTCTTTTCTCCCTAAAAATAAATAAAATCTTTTTTAAAAGACTTAGAGGTTAATCTTGACTTGATACTATAGATTTCTCTCTAATATATGCATAAAGTTTATAAAATTTTTTAGAAACTTTTTTTAAGCAATAAATTAATGATTATAATAGAGTGAAAAGAGGGTTTTGCAGAAAATTCAGGCTCGTGTCCTGCTGGAATGCTTTACCTTCCCAGACAAAATACTTAATGTAACTATATATTTACCTATATATAACTACATAGATAAAGATTCTATATATATCTACATAGATAAAGATATAGATAAATAGTTACATTAAGTATAGATGTATATAGATAAGTAGATCTTAAGATTTGTTTTATAAGAAGCAGTAGTTTGTACTGTTGGGTAGCAGCCAAAAGAAGCATACTCTAAGAGAAGCTCTAAATTGCAAGTTAATTAAAATTCTCTCTAAATATCTCATTTTCTTCCTGTGAGCAAAACAGTCAAAATTTTTAATGTTGTGCAAAGGTGGGTTTTTTTATGCTGGTTTAAATGAGCATGACTTCTGCTGTGATACAGTCTGTCTTGATTATTTTTTCCTTATGCTTCTATCAGGTTTTTAAAATGACAAGTCTGAGTTCTGAATGAATGAGACCCTAAATGCAGACAAAGAATGGCATGCTTTGCTTGCATGGTCTATGGCAAAAACGTGGTCAAGCAAATTTTGTGATTAAAATCTACAGCTGTTCAATTCACTTTTTTCCTTCAAGAAGAGCCTTTTGCAAGTTGGTTTCACTTCAAAAAAAAAAAAAGATATTCTTTTAAAAGATATAATTAACTTCTCTCTCTCTCTTTTTTTAAGTTACATTTCATCCTGACCAATCCCAAAATTTCTTCTCACTTAGCTTTTGTGACAGTGCTCCACCATTCTTTTGAACTCTGACAGCTTTTTTTTCTAGAGTGTCCCCAATACTCTGGTTTTTTTTCCCTCGCATCATTTTCTCTCATGCTTTTATTAACCACCTTTGAAGTTATGATCCCAAATCTGCACCTCTAGTTTGACTTACCTGATGAATCCCAGTCCTACATTTCTTAGTGTTGCTACTTTTGTGTTTCGTCAACAGCTTAAATTTAACACATCCAAGCCAAGTTCCATTTATGTCCTACCTTTCAGATGTTTTTATTTTGCCTAGTCACTCAAGTGTGTAATACAGGGCTTACTGTTTGTTTATTTCATTTTCTTGACCCTTATATTAAAAAGTTCTACCAAGTCTTTCCATATAGGAAGAAGCAAGTTTGGGGGAGGATATCAAAAGCTCAGTTCTGGGTATGTTAAATTAGCCATTCAAATGGAGTTGTTTAGTAGGCAGTTGATGTTTGTTGAGTTTGGACCAAAAAATCCAGAATACAGAAATGATTTTGAGGGGCAGGTCAACCACAAGTTGGTGCTTAAAGCCGTGAAACTGAGTGAGATCATCAAAGTATGTATTGAATGTAAATATAAAAAGGAAGCATTTTGAGTTCTTACCTCTGAGGTATGGCAACTTTAAAAACAGAGATAAAGAACCAGCAAAGGAAATTGAGAAGCAGCTGCAGCCAGTGACATTGTCATGAGGGAAATGAGAGTATGTGCTGCTGTTCTGGAGCCAAATGGAAAAGATGCTTTCAGCTTCATTCTCTCTTCTGAACCCCAGATTTCAATCCAACTACCTATTTGCCATAAATTCCTTGAACTCAATATATTCAAATTAAAAATCTTTATTTTTCTACCCAAATTTGAGCTTTCCCTGTCTTTTAGGGTCTCATTAAATCCCATTACTATCCTCACATTTACCAAAGATAAAGATGTGATAGTCATCTTTTTCTTTCACCTCACTTTCATGCCCAATCTGATACCCTGGCAGTCCTGTTTCCAAAATGCATTCCATATCCCTTCATCTCTGTAGTCACCACCCTCGTCTACACCACTCCTCTCTCTCCCATCACAGGCCTCCTAATCGGTCTTTTTATACACTTATTTTTCTGCTCTAGTTCAGTCTCTAAAAGAGAATCAAAGGTGATTTATTTTAAATATAAATTGGCTTGTATTATCTTGCTTAAAAACCTTTCAATGGAAAGAAGGTACTTGAATGGCCAATAAGCACATGAGAAAGATGCTCAACGTTATTGGATATCTGGGACAAAGATACCACTTCACACCTGCTGCAGTGGTTAAAAAGACTGGTAATATCTAGCATCAGCAAGGGTGAAAAGCCACTGGAGCTCTCATACACTGCCGGTGGGATTATAAAATTGTACTTTGGAAAACAATTCAGTGGGGTTTTTTAAACAGCTTTATTGAGGATGGCCAGTTTTCTGTCATTTAAGCACACACCTATCATGTGACCCCACAATTCCTCCTGTACATGTTATACACCCAAGGAAAATAAAAAACATGCTCACAGAAAGATGTATTTAGGAATGTTCATAACAGTGCTGTTCACAATAGCTCAAAACTGGAAACAATCCAAAAGTCCATCAGCAGGCAGATAAATAGAAATTGTAGTGTATTTATGAAGAATACGACTTCTCAACAACAAGAGGGGAACTACTAGACTTAGCAACATGAGTGAATCACCAAAATTTATTGAGTTAGAAAAATGCAAAAAATCAAAAGGGATACATATTATATAATCCCATTAATAGAAGTTCTAAAATAGGCATGACTGAACTATGGGGATGAAAATCAAATCAGTGATTGTGGGGAACAAGAAGACATGAGAGAGCATTCTTGTGCAAAACAATGGAATACAAGGAAACTTTCAGGGATGGTGGAAATGTACTTCGTCTTGAAATGTACACTGGAATATACATTTGTCAAAATTTATAGTACACTTAAAATCAGTGTATGTGAATTATACCTCAATAAAGTAGTTTTGTTGTTTTTTTTTCTTTAAAAGTCTTCAGTGGCTTTCTGTTGTATTTAACAATAAAATTCAAATTCAAACTCCTTTTGGTCTCCAGCATCCATTGTGATCTGGCACCTGCCCACCTCTCCATCGTCATCTCTTCCAACATCTCTCTCTCTCTTTGCTGAATCTCAGCCACACTGGCTTTCTCTTAGATGTTATAACTTACAAACATTTTCCTATCTCAGGACCTTTACCTAGAACATTCCACACTCCTACCTCTTCCCATGGCTGTCTTCTTGTTATTCATCTGTTACTTCCCTACATGTTCTTCCTCAGATAAGCCTTTAGCTGTCTGCTTGCTTAATGTTAACACCCTGCTTGCTTAATGTCTGTTTCCCTCACTGCATGTAAAATCCATGAGGACAACAGACCTGGACACTCTCATTCTATACTTCATGTCCAGAACTTAGCATAATGCTTAGTAAATTTTGATTATTTGAACAGGTGATATCAGTTGCCTGTTTGAGTCTAGACAACTTCAGATTCAGGGTCCATGAGCTCTAGTTTTTCTAGTTGTTTTTTGATTTTCTGATAAAATTTTTTAATCTCTATATTTCCTAGTTATAACCTACCTTAAAGACACATAAAAATCAACAGGACTGATAAGTGAAACATTAAAAGGTGTCTTGTTGTTTGGTGTCAAATGATAGAAGAGATCTTTTAAAGTCTAAAATGCTTTTATAAAAGTATATTAGAGACTTTTCCTTTTTTTAGTTTCTCTTCTGTGTGTGTAAAGACTATTATATATAGATTTTAAATCTAAAATACTTTTAGACATACGATTTTTACCTCTTTAGTAGTAATTTTGAGGTGAGATAATTAGCATTCTTGCTCATTATGCAGATGAAAAAGAAAGGGGAAAATAAGTTATTAAAAATTTAAATGAGTTGCCCACAGGTCTAGAGCATGAAACCCAATGAAAATGGAAGTTTTGGTACGTGTCCCTCCTCCCCTATCTTACTCCCCATCCCCACCCCCCAAAAAGCTAATTATTTCTTAGTAATTCTGCATTCAGTTTTTGGTGTGCTGCTTTTGTTTACAGCTCATGGTGATGCACAAGATAAAGTCATACAGAAAGCATTTGTGGAGCCATATTTTAAAAATAATGGAAGGTAAGTTGGTCTTGATAAATACCAGCAATGTGATTGGAAGTGAAACAGCTTTCTTTGTCGGAGCATAGTGCAGTGTTTCTTTACCTTTTGACCCTAACAAAACTGGAACTCAAGCTTTATAAAAGTGGCAAATTTTATAAATAAGGAAATTTTTACCACCACTACATTTTTAAAATAATTGTCATAGTTATTTCCTCTGCTTTATTATAAAAAATATTCTATTGTGAAGTTTATATGAACTTTGGGAATTGTTTAAATTGTGTACTACAACTTTAAGGCTGTAGGTGGTAAGCCTTAGGTTGTGCTTCAGAATTATAAGGATTTTTAAACCTTCAAAGCAAGTTGATTTTGAACCATAATGCCACATTCTGCTAAATTCTGTAACTTTCAATCATGTATTATTCTTTTTAGAAATGAATTAAGGCCTAGTAATTCATTCCCAAGGTTTTTTGTGCTTTTTTTCCCTTTTAAGTTATGATGATGACAAATTGAGTCATTCAATAAGCAAAATTATTCCTTATACTTTTTATTTCTGTCAGTTTTAGAAATCTGACAGACTAAGATACATTTTTATTGATGTCTATAAGACTCTAACAGATAAAAGCAATCATTTTGTGGCTAAATGACTAATTGTTTTTCTTTATTTACCAGTTTTTCAAAGAAATTGTACCCTAGCATCCCAAACGTGACTAGGGTTTTTTTTTATCATTACGAACTCATGGATTTATATGTATTTGATGTGTCAGTCCATTGCAGTTATTGTACTTACTGATACTGAAATTGTCCCATCTTTGCCCACTTGAAGCCTCTTTGAATAGATCCGACTTTAATCATCTTTCACAGCTCCCTTGTTCCTGGTATGATAGATGTCCCTGACACACTTCCCGCCATTGGCCAAGAATCTACCAGGATCTGTCATTTCTCCCAGAGTCCTAGGTTTTTGTTTTTTGATTTTTGTTGTGTTTTTAAGTGAGAACTGGTATTTAGGCCACAGTCTAGCCACTGAGGGTTGCCCATTGCAGCTGCTAGTCATTGTTTCTAGACCTTTTAGGTAGACAGAGTTAGAAATAAAAGTTTCTGTTTTATTTTGTCTTGTAAGGTGAACTACACTTGTTTATACCGATAGCTCCAATTTAAGTTCAGGACTACCGGATTTTTACGTAACTTCCTGTGTCACATCTATACCTGCTTTCCCACCTGAGAATTCCACTTTTTGGTCCCACCCACATCATTCCTCCTTTAACTTTATTCCACAGTACACACACAAAACAGTCTCAGAATAACACAGACTATCGCCAAGCATATGATTTAGGAAAATGGCTTAACACTTTTTGTGTTTTAAAGTTGCTTCAGACAATTATTTTGTATGTGGTTATGCCACCAATTCAGTACCCAGGTTTGTTTTATTTTGCTTTTTATTTTTTAGGAATTGTTTTATATTTAATTCTTTTTGAAATTAGGTAAATTATGTACAAGATACCAGAGGCTACAAAACAAAGTATATTCAAATAAGTCTAACCTCTTATCTGTTAGCTTTACTCTGTTAGCTTCCTATCCCTGAAGGTGGTAATTATTTGTTTAAAATTTATGATCTTCCATCTATTTTTAAAATAAAACCAAGTTTGGTTTTATCAGTATAGATATTTGTAGCCAAACTCTCTCCCCTAGACAAATGGTAGAATGCTATATATGCTTTTCTCTGTTTTGCTATTTTTATTTAAATCACTCATTGTAATATATGGTCCTTTCCTCATTTCCTTTTTTAGTTTCATAGTACTTTATTGACTGTACCATAGTAGTTTATTTCTAGCGATGGACATTTGAGTTGTTCATAGTAATGCTAACATACATAACACTGCAATGAGTAGCCTTTTGCATTTTCTTCTCAAGTTTTCACCTGTGTATCTTTGGGATAGATTCCTAGAAATGAGATTGCAGAGTGATTTCAGGTGTTTTATATTAGGAGTTCACTAACTTTTTTAAAAAGTAGTTTTATTTATTCTGAAACTGTTAGGTATCTGGAGGTACAGGAGGTGGATAAAGATGTAGGGGTGGTAAAAGTCTCCAAGTTCACGTAGTTCCTTTCCCCACTGAGAATACTAGTAAACACTGGGTAGGTGGGTTGTGTCGTGTCAGGGACAAGAAGCTTAGTAACCTGTCAGATGATGTTTCGAGGTCTACTACAGATGCCAGTGTACTAGTTAATTTGCTGCTGTATTACAGCACACATAGAAACAGAATGGATAGTATTCAGAAGAATGGATATGGCCAAATTACATTCTGTGTAAGCTCAAGATTCTATACCTATCTGGAAGAAAATACAGTGGCAGTATTTCTGTGTATCCTTTCTTGTTCTCCCTTTTTAAATTTACAGGTTACTCCAGAGTTTGAAAGTTCTTGAGTTTAGGCACAAAAGGACCTATAACTTCATACACTTTGAACTAGAATAATTAAAGCTTATTTTTTTGTTTGTTTTTGAGAAAAGTGCTTGCCACTCAGAGGCGCTTGTGACCAAAATACCTCAAAGTAGAATATGTGTTACCAGCAAGTCGTTTTTAAAAACTCAGTTTTTGTGAGCAAGATTGTTTAAACTCACCAGGGGTGTTTCTATTATTAATGTATATACATACACCATCACATAACTTTTCATTTACCTATCTTGTCAGTTTGGATTTTTCTGTATTGGGGTTTTTTTTAAGCAGGATACAAGTATAATAATAATTTCAAAAAATGTTATTTGCTTCCATGGGATTTTCTTTCCAGAGTACTCCACACCTTTTTGATCCATACCTCAGTGGTTTTGACCCTTCCGAGGTTTCCAATGCTTCACAATAGGATCTGATCCATTTGAGGACAAATATAAATGATAATTTTGCCTAGTATTTTGAAGAAGGTAGGGTAGATGGGAGCAGCATAACAGATTTTTAGAGCAAATGACATACAAATAGAAACTGTTCTTTGGCAGGGAGTAGATTAGCCCTGAAATATGGGTTCTTAGCTCTAGAAAGCCAGGTTAACAGAAGCAGTAGTCTCTTTCTTAGTTATGTTATAGAATACTAATTCCTGAGTCTAATAATATAGTATTTTTTTTAATTAGGCTATTTTATATTTTATCTCCTAATCTAATTATTTTTAGCCAGAGGCAAAAAAAGGAAGCAGTGGTTCATCTTTTTCAGAGAAAAACATCCATAAAAATACTTCATGTTCACGTATAGCAGGCACTTAATAAATATATAGTGAAGAATGAATAAAGAAATATTTGTTTTTCTAACATACTGAATAAGCATTTCAAATAAAATGAATGAATGTTTTGGGATTATTTTTTCCCGTGGGCTCTCACCTTTGTTAATTTAAAACCTGAATCAAATATCTTTATAGTAACAAATAGATTACCAGTAATTTTAAATTTAATTCATCTTTTCCCCAGAGAGACTGGCTTACAAAATTTTCCTCATATTGAGGTGGTTCGGAAAAAAGAAGAGAGAAGAAAATTGCTTGGACACACATGTAAGGAATGTGAAATTGTAAGTACTATTATCGGTACTGTTCAGTTGGGGTATTTTACAGTATGGCTTTATAGAGCATGAATGCATTATTTAAAAATCATAGATACAAATTACATTTGTATCAAGAAACCTAGTTTAAGCAAGGAATAACAGAGTAAATAATAAAGAGTATAGTGGCTGGGACCAGAGAGACATAAACATGAAAACGAAAGCCCTTAATTTCTCTTACATTTTTACTAGTGAATCTGGAGTCTAAGAACAAGTTCGTATTACCACTTGAAGACATTTGTGCCATTTTCCTTTTCTGTATTTATTTGTTTTTGTTTTGTTTTGTCTTAAAATTTTCCCTTGGGTTACATTGTAGCAAAGGCTCTTATGTATTTACTTGGGGCAGGGGGTGGATTTTAATATCCCAACAGGAAACTTTATAAAATTTATTATTCACACCAATACTCTGGAAATGAGATATGCTTATAATTGGGTTTTTTTTTTCTCTAAATAACAGATACAGCCATAAGCTCTTCCTCCCCCATTTTCCTTTCTAAACAAAATGTAATGAATAGACTCTACTACTTCATCCTTAGAACACAATTATATTTTTCTTTCGTACAGTGGCTGTTTTGGATAGTACAGTTATAATATGTAGATAGTACTAATTATCCTATTACTAAATAGTTTCATAAATAGACAGGTTCTGTGTTTTCTTGAAACATGCCATTTTTGTTTCTTGCCCTGTTACTCACTAGCTATCAGATGTCAGCTTTCAACAACTTCCTTCCTCTTTCAAATTTCCTTTTTAACAACTCTGGGCTAGAAATTTTTATAACCAAGCACATAAAATTATATGTGGCCCTGGCTGGTATGGGTCAGTGGATTGAGTGCCTGCCTGCGAACCAAAGGGTCGCCAGTTTGATTCCCGGTCAGGGCACATGCTGCCTGGGTTGCAGACCAGGTCCCCAGGGGGGACGTGCAAGAGGCAACCACACATTGATGTTTCTCTCCCTCTCCTTGTCCCCTCCTTCTCCCCTTTCTAAAAATAAATAAAATCTATCCCTGGCTGGCATAGCTCAGTGGATTGAGTGCGGGCTGCGAACCAAAGCATCGCAGGTTCGATTCCCAGTCAGGGCACATGCCTGTGTTGCAGGCCACAGCCCCCAGCAACCATACATTGATGTTTCTCTCTCTCTTTCTCCCTCCCTTCCCATTCTAAAAATAAATAAAATCTTTAAAAAAAAAAAAAAAATAAAATCTTTTTAAAATTGTAATATATATATATTTTTTAAATCTCTTTTGCTAGAAACACTATTAATTGCTTTCCTTCTCTCAGGATTAATTTCCTGTGCTATCTGTTTTATAGTCTCTGAAAAACATTGTTTCATGCATTTTATTCCATTGTTTTAGTTTAAGGTAAGAGGGTAAATCTACTCCTCATGACCACAGGTAAAAGTGTCAGTCCCATGCGTTTAAATGTTCCCTATAAGCTTACAGTTCCTAAATGTATCCCATCACCTGTTCCTCGTGTGGAATATGTAATACACATGTGGATATGTCATAGTCATCTCACATTTCACATGTTCAAAAGCAAATACTCAATTTCTACTTCCAATTCCCAAACCTCACCTCTTGTCTACTATATGCCCATCCTTCTAGTTGTTTAAAACATATATCTTATGTTTTAAGAGTAGTTAGCCTTTACTCTTTCTCTCATGGCTCAATAACTAATCTATCAGCAAATCCCACTGATTGTGCCTTTGATAGATATCCTGTTTTCAGTCATTTGTCTCCACCACTAACCCCTGGACCAAGGTATCATGTTTAGTCTGAACTATTGGAAAAGCTGCTAAAGTGCCTTCCATGTATCTGTTTGTATTTTTATTAATAAACTACTTTTTAGAACAGTTGTAGGTTCACAGTAAAACTGAGTATTAAGTACAGAGAGTTCCATATACCCCCATCCCCATTCCCCTTTTCTTTTCATTCTTCCTCTCTAGGGTGCACTTCTCACACAGCAAGGAATGGATTTCTTTCCTAATGATCTTTTTAGAGTAAAGATTAAATCATGTCACTCCTCTATCCAGAATGCTTAAGTGTCTTCTCATCTCACTAATAAATAGAATCTAAAGCCCTTATCAAGGACAGTAAACTCTGGTATCCCACTTTTTCTGACTTCATTTTCTACCTCTCTCCCACTTGCTTACTGTGTTAAAACCACACAGGCCTACATTGTATCTGAGTATGTTGTAATTGGGTGATAGTGTTTCTCAAACATTGATCGATAACTGTGATTGTCGAAGGGCAGCCCATCCCACTTCCCAGGCTAAAGTAACAAAGGCAATGAGGATAATGAAAAAATACCCCCCAAAAAGTTATTTTGGAGATACTCAAAAAGCCTTTAATTAAACTGTATAAAAGAAAAATGTATGAAAAACCTCTACTTCAAACTTAATTTTTGTTCTAAGTCTGCCACTTTCAATAAGTGATATCTGGTAAATTATCCTTGGATTTTTAGTTTCTCAAATATAAAATGAACTTAGCTAGATTATGTGATCCTTGGTGTTCTAAACCTCACAGTACTGCTTTGTTTTCTTTAGATCTAGAGCTTGAAGACCTGTACAGTTTGCACATATATAAGTTTTATCCTTGCGTGCATGAAGTTCAGGGTCTTTATGATTGCAGTTACAAAAAATTGCATGCCTTTGATCTAATTGAAAAGTGCAGTTTAAGGGTAAAGCTATGAAGCCTGTAGCATTCAGAGCCTTTAAACTTGTGTTTTAAAAAACTGTAGGGATAGGAAAATTACTTAAACATACATTATATCCAAATAACAATTGAGAAAGTGCTATTCAAAGTGCAGGCCTCTGCATTTCTGTCACTGGTCTGACGGAGGGGAAGAGTTTGCACCAATAAATCAGCTGTATCACTAGGCTCATTGTAAAGTTCAGCTGGCATTTTTTTCCATTGTAAGACTTTATTGATCAAGGAGGCCGGTATGTTGATTTACATTGTAACACAATCTCCTTTTCTCATTTGTGAAGCAAGCATTTCACAGACCAGCACTAACTACTATTAGTAAGTAATTGATATTACTTATCATCAGGGAGTATTAAGTTTCCTTAGCATCCCTAATTTTTCAATAAGTAGATTTCTTAGCTTCAAGTTTATAATCAATAAGCATAACACTCCATTTATTATCCCTAAGTGAAAAACTTACCAGTTTTTATTATTAGTATTATGCAGACATTCCAGTAGAAGAAAGAGAAAAGAAGTTGGCTTCCTGTTCAAGACACCGATTCCGCTACATTCCACCCAACACACCAGAGAACTTCTGGGAAGTTGGTTTTCCTTCCACTCAGACTTGTGTGGAAAGAGGTGAGAGTACAGATTATAACATTTTCAAATTACTTTTTTAAATACAGTTATGCCCAAGTCTGACTTTTTCTCCATGGTTCTCCTTACCGGGGGTTATAGTTTTATGACATAAAAACAAATTCCTAAAGATAAAAGGCTTACCTCCAACTCTTAATTTCATTAGAATCAGGAATTGTTTATAATGACTTCAGCATGATTGTGTATGCATGATCCTGGTTTACCATCCAAATTTGAGAAAGCAGTTACTCTTTCATGCTATTATCAAAATGACTTTTAATAAAGTAAATAGTTTTATACAAGTTGCCAGCAAAGTTTTATCTTTTTAAAACAACTATGAATTTAAGATTTTAAAACCTCACCAGAATGCTGGTTATTTTTAAACCATTTATGAGTAAAAAAAGACCTTTGTTTGCTTAGAAAATTGTTGACATGCAACTAGCTCTTTCAGATATGACACTTATATTTAATATATTTTGAGAATGTATGTAACTTGAGTGTTTCATATATTTAGTGGTAAGATAGTTTTCCCAAAAGAATGCAGTCTTTGACAGCCATTACTGTATTTACACTTTCTCCATTAACAAGCCAAATTAAGTCCTCTTTGACATGATGTCTCTGCCTGGTCCTCATACAAAATTAGGCAGTCTGGATGTGAGCCTGTGTTTGCACTGCTAATATGGCCTAGGGGTATGGTTGGAGCACAGTTCTCTCCTGCAGACCACACGATTTTACACACCTGAGGAGAATCGAATAGTCTGGAGAGTGTAGGGGCATGTCATCTAATGAAATAGCTACTACAAAAAGTCTTTTTGATAAGCACCTGGAATTTATTGTAATAATAAAGCTTTGTGTTTAGCCATTGTCCCCACTGCAGCCTGTGGGAGGCAGATTAGGAACGTGCTTAAGAACTCTGGTTCTGGAGTTAGACAGATCTTGGGCAAAGTCCCAGCTCTTCCACTTCATAGGTTTGGGAACTTGAGTGATTTAACTTCACTGGGTCTCCATTACCTCATCTGTGAAATAGGTATAGTGGAAGCTCCTTCAAAGGAATGTGTTGTCTGAGATAATGTAGATGATACATTTCCTAAATGTTTGTTGCTACTATTGTTAGTGTCAATGAGGAAAGTGATGCTAAGTAGTGACATCACTGGTCAGCATCACTCAGCTAATAGAAGAATCATGTAAACTTATAAGTCATTAAGTAAGACAATGTCTACTGGATATGTACTGAAAGAAATTTATGTTGCAAATACAGTCTTCTCAATTTCTAATTTGTTTTTAAGGTTACATTAAAGAAGATTCTGATCCTTGTCCTCGTCCAAAGCGGCGGCAGCCTTACAATGCAATCTTTTCTCCAAAAGGCAAGGAGCAGAAGACCTAGATGTTGAAGCAAAAACATGATAGAGAACAATTTCTTCTTTTTGGTTATTTATAGCTAATGGTGATATTAAACACTGATTTTTTTAATCTTCTGTAAAATGATTTATAAGTCATTTTTCTGTTCAGCACACTTTTAAACCCCATTTCCCCACCACACAACTATATGGATAAGTTTTTTTGTGTATTTTCATACTTTTGCACCTTTAAACAATAAGGTACTTTCATTTTTTCACTCTTAAGAGTTGTTTGCTATTACTTAATTACAGTTTTGAAAATATGATAATTATAGTCTGTGATTTGTTACCTTTCAGATCTTTTCTGTCTTCCATTGTTAGTACATTCAGCAGTGATTTTGTGTTAATCATTACAAATTTTCATTCTCTTCATCAGTTACTCTTCTGCAGGTCATTCCAATGTCTGAATGTCTGACATTTAAGTCATTTTTTTAAAAAGGCTAAATTTTAATAGTCATTTTAACTTTCCAGTGTTTTTCTTTTGTCACTTGAAATGAAGTACTACTGTATAGTATGTTCCTTTTGAAGTGACCACAAATATCAACTCTTTTTCCTTTTGCATATAACATAAATTAACATCATCCTCTGATCTGATGCTAATATTTTAGTTTCTCACATGGTTTCTTTTCATTACACTTTTTTTTCTGGTACAATTTTCAAGCTGAATTTGTTGAGTTCTCTGCCCACATGTTCAAGTTCAGTTTATTATTTCTCTGGATTGACTAATGTTCTGAACTTCCAGTTTGACAACAAAATAGATTTCTCTATTTAGGAACTTGCTGCTACTCTTGGACCTAGTGTCTGAGTTATTAAGATGACCGAACACATTTGTGTCACCTTTTCCTAGTGGCATTTTGTTTCTCTTTGTCTTTTTTGTGTATCCCTTTAATTCATATCTTCTTGATAGTTTACCGTACTTTGCCATGTATATTGTGCACTTTTTTGCCCAAATTTTTTGGAGGGAAACAAGGATGTGCACTATACATAGGTAGTGCCTAAAATACCTCGTATCTTGTTCCTGTGTTTTGTAATTATTTGTTGCATAAAATTTCTTGTACTGTAATATGTTAAAAATAAATGCTAAAATTCCTTTATAATACAAAAAACAAGTATCTAAATATAAATAAATCATTAAATTAAAAGATTAAAATGAAAGGGTTTTTTTCCTGAAAGTTTGGGCCAGAAACATGGGCACACATTATATGTGGCAAAATACGGAACATAAGGAGGACTGGACAAGACACTGAATGGAATACCTCACTCAAATCTAAGTAATCTTGCAGGTAACAGTCTTCTCAGAGGTCCTAAATACCTCTTTGCTCAGTCTTGCCCATTGATCAAGGTTCTCGTGTGAGTAAATGGCATCAGGTGTGTTCCCACAGAGAAGACAGGAAAAGAAGGTCACGTGTGTTGAGTACCTACTATATGTCAGATCCCCTGTGTACATCGTTTGGCTCTGAATGTGATTCTGAGTTTTTTATCACCCTATCATAACTTCTATTCAGCACTTTTCTTTCCTTCCCAAATTGTTCATCTGTCCTGTTTGATTTTTTTTCTCTGCTGGCCGTTACTTAATCTCGCCCAAAATAAGAGAAACTATTCATTGGTCACATAATCTATGCCAGGAACTGTATTATGCTCTAATAACTGAGAGATGAAATTAGAGCCTATTTTTGCCTGATTCCAGAATTAGATCTTGTATCTGCAATTGGCAAGTGCTTCTAAAAACCAGGAATCTGAGAAATACTTGGATTTGAATAGGTTACCACCAGGTTGTGCAGCCAGAGCTCCAGTGGATTCTACTATTTTAAAAGCATCCAGAGCAGACACAGCAAGAGATTATTTATCTGAGAGTAGCTTGACAAGTTAGCAGTCTAGCCCTTTATAATTAGCATTATCATTTTATCCTCAGTCACCTTGTATAAGGTTGTGTAAGCTGAGACCTCTCTCCCTTTTTATCTGCTACTGACTAGCTCTACCTTTAAGTAAAGACATGAAATACTTTTTAAAAACACTTGAGTCAGAAGGATGCATTTAAATGCAAAACTGGAGTATAGGACAGATTGCGCACTTTCAAACTTTTCTTTAAAGGATAATGTATATATGCCCTGGCTAGGTGGCTCAGTTGGTTGGAGCATCATTGTGTACACCAAAAGGTTGCAGGTTCAATTCCTTGTTAGGGCACTTACTTAAGTTTTGGGTTCATTCCCCAGTCAAAGCACAAATGGGAGCCAGCCAATTGATGTTTCTCTTTTTCTCTCCTTCCCCTCTCCTTTCCTGTCTCAAAAAAAAAAAGAAAAGAAATCAATAAAAACGTATCCTCAGATGAGGGCTTTCAAATAAAGATAATGTATATAAAAAGGCTTTTGTTAATTTGTAAAGCATTATACATTAGATAATTTCATACCAATACATGTCAATCACTGTGTGTGTATGTATGTATGTATATAGTTTCAGGTTGTCTGTGAGCTTTTTAAAGTTGAAGACTTCTGACTTAAGCTTTGAAAACATGCAGAACCTATGTGTTAGCATTTAGCAATTGAGTAACACCTTCCTGCCTTTAAACAAGCAGTTATTTTGTTTGATTAAACCGTTTGAAACCTAAGATTGTCAAAGGCAGCAGTTTGAGTTAATCATGGATGCCTGGATGTATGATGAAGACCTAATATGCTACAGCAAGAGAGCAAATGAAGCAGAATATTCCCTAACACCTTTCATGTAGTGAAAAATTTTCCCAAAGCCCAACTGAAAAGGGTGCTCTTGGTAGACTTAACATATTAATAACTCAATTTAAACTGCATCCGCATATGTATGTAAAAATGCATAGAGAACATTCTTAGGTCCTTTAAATGATATAACTAAAAGACTGCAAAGATTCCTCCCCAGTAGCCTTTAATTCATAATTAAGTTATTAAAAAAAGGAATAGTGTTACATAAACCAGATACTAATACTTTTATTTAACAAACATTAATCAAGCACTTTAGCAGGCTCAATACTAAGTATAGTATCAGACTGTGGCAAAATTTGACTAATTTTCTTCTAAGGAGCAAGCTTTTAAACATTTAAGAATCTTACTCTTGTTATCTCTGACATCTTAACATATCAAGTATGAATTTTATTTTGAAAACTGCCACTTTAGAAATAAGCATTGACATATATGTCAGACTTTACCATCCAGCTGTCTATTTTCAACAGTTCTAGCAGTTCAAGCGACATCTCAATCTTTGCTGAGTTGATGCTGTTAGAATGGTTCTTTGGAGAACTGAAGTGTCCTTACACTTGAGTCCTGTAGCATGCCCTTAAGCAGTGATGTGCTATCACCAGCAGAGGCCAGGAGAGAGCTATTTTTGGAGACAAATCCGTGGAAACTAAAGGCCGAATGGGACTATCAAAAGAAAATTTCTAGGATAAATAGATGAGTTGGGAGCCTTTAGTACAGTCATGAGAGCTTGAAAGCTACAGGGCAAAAAGCAAGCTTTCAATGTAGCGCTAGTTGGAATAAAACAAATGGCAGAAGCAAAAATATCAACAAACATGCCACATGCTAGGCGCTTAGGGATACAGATAGATATGTGAGATCCTGGTATTACCCTAAGAGGCCAAAGAGGCTTAGACTGAGTACAAAGGAATATTAAGAATGATGAGAACCTGAACTGTGTGTTAGGGTGAGTTATCCCAGGGAAGCAGAGGAGGAGACAATGCAGTCTGCATTGGGAGACTGACCTGAACATGGAAACAAATGCCAGGAGTCAGAAGAGGCCTAGATTATTTGGTTCTAGGCCTTCACAAAAGAAGAAAGCCTGAAGAGAGAGTGACTTGCAAGGTCCCAGTGGGCTGGAACTAGAATGTCGTCTGGAACCTCAGTCTGCTGAAGGGGAAAACCCTTCCTGGGACCCAGGAAGCACATACAGGTTTGTGTTCATAGTGAGGCAGTGAAGCTGTATCTTAAAGGCAACACTAAAGAATTTACACTTGAGGCTTTAGGCCTTCAAACCATTAGCAGACTCCTTTATTCAAATCCTACACAGAACCCCAATGAACACTGATGTTTTAAAGATGTTTATTTCAAGCATTCAAATTTATCACTTTATTAATCCAATCAGTAAGACTGGATAAATAACAAGGTTGTGAAATGGGTCTTGAATGGCAGGTTACAGCACCTCAACATCCATGATAGCCCAAGTGTTTGCTGCACCCCAGACCAATTATATCAGTGTTTGGGGACAAGTTCCAGGCATCAGTATTTTTTTAAAAGCCCCTTAGGTGATTCAAGTATGCAGCCAACTTTGAGAACCACTGCCCTAACTCACTTACAGGCTAGTTTAGTGGTGTTCAAACAAGTTTACATCAAAATCCCCTGGGAAGCTGATTTAAACCACATACGGGCTTTACCTCAAAGTGGGCAGGGTCCCAAAATTGACATTTTTCATGTGTTTCCAGTGGATGCTAATGCTGCTGGTACAAGGACCACCAGTACCTTATAGAAGCCCCTCAGATGCTTGATAAATAGAGATCCTCAGGCTCCCTCTATATTTTGATTCAGGCATACTCTGCAATATTTTTAAAGTTATCAGAAGATCATTAGTATAAGACAAATCAAAGAAATGCTTAAAAGGATCAACTAATTAGCAAAATGTTAAGTTTTCAGGCACCTGTTGGCTGAAAATATTTTGAGTTGTATAGTAATGTATTAACTTAGAAATAATTATTAGACAGCAACATACAGTTGACTGTCTATCACATGTTTGGACTGATAAATGTACACCCAGCCTTCCATATCCCCAGGTTTTGCATCCTCAGATTGAAGTAACTTCATCTTGAAAAAGTATTTTCCACCCATGACTAGGCATCTGTGGATGCCGAGGGCTTCTTGTGTGCATTGTTCTGCCCCATTTTATGTAAGGGACTTGGAGCCATCTGCAGACTTTGGTATCTGCAAGGTGTCCTGGAACCCATCCCTCATGGATACTGAGGGACAACTGAAGTTTTGGGGAGACTAAAGGTTATATGCAGATTTTTTCCTGTACAAGGGTTCAGTGTCCCAAACCCCCACATTGTTCAAGGGTCAACTGCTTATATGATTATTGGAGTAGGTGAGCATAGGTAGTCAAGCATCAAATTGGATTAGACTTAGTTGGCAAAACTGGGAGGCATGCTTCCTGACTTCTAATTCTTGTTCTTGAAATAGTTTCTTGAGCAGCATTGAATCATCTCTGTCACAGGGCCCTTTACACTGTGCACATTATCCTGTAATCAAACACCCTCCCCTCCAGTGTGCACACCCTCTCCTATGGATCTGCAGCTGCTCTGAGTGTGGGTCAGGCCAATGACTGGGGTACCATGCTGGGCCATCAGTGTGCCTGGCACCTGTGCATGGAACAGCACTTAGCAGCTCACTCAATCCACAATTCAAGGTAGTTTCATGTGTGGATTCATTACATTCACCACAAGAGCCTTGCAGAAGGTGCAATCAGCAAAGATACTCAGAGCCCAGCACAGCACCTTAAATACAGAAAGCTTTCATATATGATTGTTGAATTAATGAGTACTAGAACCAGGAAAACGTAATTGACTAGGTTTTGCCTACACTACACTGTGTTACCTTGAGTCAAGTCTCTGCCTTTTGGGGCTTTAGGTTCCTCATCTGTAAACTGAAGGGAGTGGACAATATGACCTTTGAGGTCCCACCTGGCTTCATCAGCTTCTCAGAATTAGATGGTTAGTACCTTCCAGGAGGGAAGACTGCAGAGTGGTTAAAAGCACGGAAAGCCAAGCAGACCAAGCAGGAGTTCCTACTCCATCACTTGGATTGTGACCTGGACAGTGCACTCAAATTCTCCGAGCTTTCTGCAACCTCCCAGCAACAAGGTGGTTATGAGGATTGAGTGAGATGCTACAGGAGCTTATTACAATGCCTGGTATGTTCTAACAGTTCAGCCATGGTAGCTGTCATCATTACTGTCAATATTGCAGAGATGGTGGTGACGAGTCAGAAACAAAGCTTATAGAAGTCAGAATTTGAGTTGGGTCTTGAAGACCAGGTAAGATTTAGAGAGACGTATGTATAAAGGGAAAGGGCCATATGAACCAAGGCCTGGAGGCAGAAAAACAAGAGGGTGTTGCAGGCTCTGGTGGGGGCTGCAAGGAGAAGATAGGGCTGGATAGGAAAGTCCAGTAGGCAAGTCAGAGCCAGGACATGCAGGGTGCTTAAGCCAGGATCACTAAGGAACGCTGCACAGAGGCAACTCCATGAGACCAATACTCTAAGCCCCTGGATCCCCCCTACTTCCTCAATATTCAGACTCTGGAAGAGGGATATAGAGCAGGTGTCTGTCACTTCTAGGCCGTAGAGTTATTTCAAATGCTGTAAATTTTAAAGAGTGAATTTAATTCCATAAATTTTATTCTATAGATATATTAATTGTTTGGGTCTGCCCTGTCTGGTCTCAGGAAGCTGTAACCCCCTGAGACTTGGGCTGAATGAGGAGCCTCCGAACCAGGAGCCACTAAGGAGACAAAACATTTCCCTGGCATGAACGATGCCTATTCTGTGTCTGGCCTCCTATGCTTGATCAGTTAGCCAATGACGGGTAAGATTTCCCACAGGGGGAATCGCCTAAGACAGGCATGATCACGTGGAGGCCCCAGGGAAGAGACTCAGGGGGCTGTGGAAATGAAGGGGTGATGGACATCAACCCCTGCCCCCTCAGCTTTGTCAAAGCCTGAGTCCTTGTTCTTAGTTGTGAGAAATCCAAGTCTCCTGGCTGCCTTTGTCTCCTCTGCCCAACTCAGGCCTGTGGAAATAACAGTGGTGGTGCAGTCCAGACCAGGGTTGGCGGACTCCCAGGGTAATCAGGCCTGGGACATAGAACATGCAAGATCCTGTGAGATCTGCTTGCTGGAGGATGCTATTGAATTAGAATATGAAGGCATAGGCAGGAAACGAGACTAGCCTGTTAGATCCTGTAGTCCTTTTAAGTGATAAAACCCCAA